AGAGATAATTGGGACAACTATTACACATCTGCTCCACAAACATGGGGTTTATGGAACAATGGCAAGAAAAAAGCCATTGCTGAACAAACCCTTAGCAAACCTAGCTGGAGTTTGCAAAAGGCCTACAAGCTGCTTTGAGTCCCTTTGGGGAGAGATAAAGTAGGATAATAATAATAATAATAATAATAATAATAATAATAATAATAATACAGATCCCAAATGTAGACTCTGCAAGGAAGCAGATGAAACAATAGATCACATCCTCAGCTGCTGCAAGAAGATTGCGCAGACAGACTACAAGCAGAGGCATAACACCGGTGCTCAGAAACATTGAAACTTGTGGCACAAATACCATCTGCCTGCGACAAAGAACTGGTGGGATCACAAACCGGAAAAAGTTACAGAGAATGAACATGCCAAACTCCTCTGGGACTTCTGGATTCAGACAGACAGAGAACTTGACTGATGTATTTTCAGACACAGTGGGAATGCCAAGGTACGTTGATAAGAACCAAGTGCTGATTAGAGTACTCTTATTAGTGCCCTCAGAGTCTGGACACATTGTAAGAGGCATGTTGACAGGATAGTTGAGTATCTCAATTCCTGGCAATTTTGGAAAAAATCAAGCCGTATTTTAAAAGGACAAATTGGATTTTTTTTCTTTTAAAACTCCCTTCTGCTAACAAGGAAATGTCGCATTATTGCATTCAGTAAAGCAATCAAAATTTAACTGTCTTGTTTGTACTACTAAACTGGCTTAGGTTGGTATTCTTCCAGTGTAAGATGATGTGCATTTTCCTGAGGTTGGGAAATCACGTTGGAACTTAAATGAGAATAAATATCTATACTTATTGGCTTTGTCGCATGTGTGCAGCTGCATTGTTTTCTATCACCCCATCCCATCGAAGTCATTACCAGTATTCATAGGTTGACTTTAAGCATTTTAAGCACCTGGCACCTTTTTTTTTGGACCTTCCCATAGGATAACATTAAGGTTATGTTTGCCTTACCCCAGTGGTTCTCAACCTTCCTAATGCCATGACCCCTTAATAAGTTCCTCATGTTGTGGTGATGTCCAACCATAAAATTATTTTTGTAATTTTTATACTGTTATGAATTGTCATGTAAATATCTGATATGCAGGATATATTTTCATTCACTGGCCCAAATTTGGCACAAGTTCCCAATGTGCCCAAATTTGAATATGGTGTGGTTGGGGGGATGATTGATTTTGTCATTTGAGAGTTGTCGTTGCTGGGATTTATAGTTCACCTACAATCAAAGAGCATTTTTAACTCCACCAACGATGGAATTGAACCAGACTTGGCACACAGAATTCCCATGACCAACGGAAAATATTGGAAGGCTTTGGTGGGCATGGACCTTGAGTTTTGGAGTTGTAGTTCACCTACATCAGGACAGCACTGTGGATTCAAACAATGATGGATGTGAACCAAACTTGGCACGGATACTCGATATACCCAAATGTGAACACTGGTGGAGTTTCGGGAAAATAGACCTTGACATTTTGGAGTTGTAGTTGCTGGGATTTATAGTTCGCCTACAATCAAAGAGTATTCTGAACCCTACCAATGATAGAATTGGGCCAAACTTCCCACACAGAACCCCCATGACCAATAGAAAATACTGTGTCTTTGGCGATCCCTCTGACATCCCTTCACAACCACCCCAGGGGTTCCGACTCCCAGGTTGAGAAACGCTGCCCTACCCAGAGGTGTTTCCTTGATTCCAGTTATTAGCCCCCAAGTTTGAAACAGATTAAACATAGACAAACTGCAAAGCAAAAAAGCAGAATCTGAAAAGGCATCACAGGGAGTCTTGAGAAGAGTCCTTAAAGAGAGTGAGTTTCAAGAAAAAGAATAAGAGAGTCTCCCAAGAGAGGGGGGGGGGAGAGATGGACGGTTGGACAGTCTTCATGGAATCTCTTCATAGAGCCGTTTCATCAAGAACCTGCTTCCATACCTTTTCACTTGATAGTTCTGCTGCTGCACCTTCAGCCATCCAACTTGCCTGGACTCTTCTTTCCATCAGAGGGTGAGATAATCATTTTGTGCCTTAATCTGTAGACTCTTAAATTTAGCTACACCCCTGTAGTCTCCTTAGATTGGTGAGGAGTAGGGTTGTTAGGACCTGCAGTGTTTTCATACTTTTTACTTTGAGAAACAGCTTGTATTGAACACACTGTGCTGTTGATTTCTATTGCTATTTTTTCTGTCTTCTTAATAAATAAATGTTTTTGCTTCAGAAGCTTGCCTTCAATGTGGTTTTTCTTTCTTTTTTGGATTGACTCTGGTATTATCCATTTTTAAAACCTTTAGGCCATAAGGTCCTGCAATTAGTGCCTGGGAAAGCTTTCTCAACATGGGCCATGTTGCTAATGTCGCAGATCTGGAGGAATGACCTTCCTCTACAGCAGAGCTTTCCAAACATTTCATGTTGGCGACACACTTTTTAGATATGCATCATTTTGTATCACATCAATTCAGTTTTACTAACAAACTAGAGGTTAAACTAACCCCTTATAAGATATATGGACACATATGTAAATTGTTATAATGAAATGTACAACGTATCTCATGAAAACCTTTCATTTATATAGTTCCTTGTATATTTTAAAAAGCATATAATTTATTATTTTACATAGACTCAGAGCTTTCTTGTTACGTTTTCACAACATGCCTACACACACCGTCCGACACACTGTGTCATGACACACAGTTTAAGTTCTACCCTAAAGGTTAGCAAAACTTCTTTCCTCTTAGAATAGAAGAAATCTCCATTCTACATTAGATAAAATAATTGTAGGAAATGATTTTGTTTTCACCTTCTATCCTGACATTTAGGAAACAGGTGAAGACTTGGTTATGGAGACAGGCATTCGACGAGGAAGCCAACACCCTGAGATATGGATGGAGGATGATGAGCAACGATTTTAGTATGACGACTGACCACTGTAGTTATTGATTGTAATTGCTGTTTTAATGTTTTACTGTAATATGTATTATGATGTTTTACTGATTGTATGTGATATTATGGTTGGAAACCAGTCTGAGTCCCTCAAGAGAGGTGAGAAGGTCGGTATACAAAACTTTTAAATAAATAATAAATAAATATACATTCAAATACCATCGAAACCAAATTATAACAATATAATATAATACTGATATTGTACTATGTTAATAATATAATCATATAATATATTGTATGAAAATATATCTTGTAAGCCACTCTGAGTCCCCTTCGGGGTGAGAAGGGCAGCGTATAAATGCCGTAAATAAATAATAAATAAATAATAACAAATATCTAGAACAATTATGCATATAGTCTTTTGGCAAAAAATAATTGCAATGTAATGAAAGATGTAACCATTTGATTCATTTGCACAGAGTGACATGGTGTCAAATAGGAGTATGTGATAACAAAGTAACTTTATATTATGCAGTGGGAATCATCATAGTATGATCCTGATATTCTATCACTTCATACTGACACTAATTCCATGTTCCAAAACTTATGCAAATTTTATGGATTCCTAATTTACTTTAAAAAGGAAGAGAGGAAATCTGAGATTCTTAAGATTCTTCTACCAGTTTTTCGATTATATGCAGAATTCAACATACGTAGCATTTACACATAAATCTCAGTTCACCACTTATTTTAACTACGTGTCTTGTAATGATGCAACATCTTGGCTATTCAGGGGTTATCGATCTATGTAAAATATATATGTATGTTTGTACTGCAAAGGCTGTTACTAGGTGAACTGACCTCCTATGATGAAAGAAAGGTGACATGTGCATGAGGCAAAAGGAAGGAGGGAGGGAGGGAGGGAGGGAAGAAAGAAAGAAGTGGGAAGGACGAAAAAGAAAGGAAAGAGAAAAGAGCATGAGGGTAAGGAAGAAAGAGAAAGAAGAAAAGAAATAGGACATGAAGGAAGGGAGGGGAAAAGGAAAAAAGGAGGGAAGAAAAAGGAGAGGTGTATGAAGGAAAGCAAGCGAAGAAGGGAGGAAGGAAAAGCAAGAAGGAGAAGGTGTATGAGGGAAAGCTAGGGAAGAAGGAAAGAAAGAGCCGAACTGCATGCCCAGAAAGAGTTGCCAGTACAATGCTATGAAGACATTGTGAAGTAGGCCTTCTCAGAGCTTGAGAAGGGAGAAAGTAGGTAGGCAGCCTACAACGCCTGGGTAAGGTAGGGATATATGCTAGTTTACTGGGTTGTTGTGGGTTTTTTCAGGCTATATGGCCATGTTCTAGAGGCATTCTCTCCTGACGTTATGCTAGTTTATTCAAAACCAGAAACATAGAGCAGACAAAACCTCCCCAAATAGTTACAATTCCTGTTTAATATTTCTGTCGGAATTACCCAAGAAGAAAATAAAAGTGCAAGAATGAAAGGAAGGAAATGAGGGTTTCTGATAATGAATGCAATGATAAAAAATCTCACACTAAAAACCAAACTGTGTAGCCTTGTTTGGACTCTGGCTTAGTGCAGGGAGGCAGCCTCTCCCTTAGGAGGCTAATATGATTGCAGAGGGCTATTATCATGCTATAATCCCCCAAGTCAACTTTCTCTCTTTAGACTATGAGGTACAAAGTCAAAGAATCCCTGATGTTATTGCCAATTGCTGACTGGAGATAGCAGCAGGGATTTGTTGAGCCAGGTCCTAACAACTGGAAGAAGAGCAGTGTATAAACCTGACTGCTCTCAAGTGGTGTCTGCAAGTGCCAGTTGAGAGCACCTTAGAAAATCTTCTTTTCCTCAAGAGGGACAATAAATAATTAAAATAAAAATAAATAGTTATGGTATGCCACAAATTTAGTTTTGCATAACTTTATGAGAAGGCAGTATGGCAGGGGAGAGCAAGTCAGGTAAAAGTAATCAGACGTCTAAACATTGTAACCCCTTCTCCTCCAAGTTAATGTAATTGTGAATTCTTGTCCGTAACACCACATAAAAGAGAAAAAAAATTCAAAGGAAAATATGCCAATAACTTAATAGTTTATTAGTCAGTCAACAATATTACAAATATTTAAAAATTACTTATATAAATAGTTGGCAGCAAACTATTCCATTACAGAGTTAAATTACCAGTACAACAGACAGACTGGAGATTTAGACACCTGGAAGATAACAGTAAAATAAACTAAAAGCTTTTAACAGAAGAGTTTAAGCTGAAGGTGATTAAGTCAGGGAGCAACCCACCAGGAAACACCTTCTTTCGTCAGTGGCGCTCTTCTTAGTGCCCCTGAAATCCACGTCAATAGCTTAGCAGTGGTGCTTTGGTGGGTTGCTTCCTTGTGGCTATAAAAGCATGGGTTTTCTTTTTATTTAGAAAAAAATAAAAATTGTTTTAACACCCCATTAGGAATACAAAATAAAATTAACTGAAAATATTAATTTGCATATCAAAGAACCATTTATAATTACAATCCAAACACTCCATAAACCACTTGTGCGATTCTTTACAGAAATTCAGAATTTAGAAACTAGTAGCTTTAATATTACAAAGATTTCAGCTCCAAAAATAATTCAACATAAAATAAACTTTTAGCCATTAGCGTCATAAAATTATATATTTTCACATAAAAATACAAAATAATATTAATGACACGAATATGAAAAATTATTCCAAGTATTTTTTACCATTTGAAATAAAACAAACAAACAAAACCCAACATGACAACAAAATAGAAATATGCATGAAAAAAGTCTCTCCTTTTGTTAGCAAAACACTATCCAAAATAACTACGATCATTTACATCAGTACAAAGATTTCTGGATTTTAAAAAATATTTGCAATGACAAAAGGGGTTTTCTTTTTCTGACAGTAAAAAATGACACTGTGGATAAAATTTGCAAAAGATGCAATGAAAAAAATAAAATTTGCATTAAAAAGGTTTACACTGTTATTCTTTTTTTTTATACAAACATTAGAAACAGTATTGCACGTCACAACACAGAATCGAGGTTAGTCAGCCTTCCAAAATGTGTTATATTCAAGTTTTGTAGCATCTTTGAGGAGAGGCTCTGTGCAGCCAGATGCAACAGGGAATAATATATCAAGTGTTTTCCATACACAAATATATAAATGCTAAATGTTTCCTTCTTAACAAAAAAGTGGACTTTTAAAGTATTTTTTTCTCCTCCACAGTCATACGTTTGGACAGCAATATGCACATTTGGGGGTAAGAAAAGTAAAGAAGCTTTAAAAATACAAAAATACAATAAAATTAACCATCTTCTACAAAAATAGTAAAATAAATATGATTTATAAAAACAAAAGCCAATACAGTGTTGAGCAATTCAGAGTTCAAGGGCACAATCCACCAGGGAGGACCCAAGCATCATCCTATATTGAAATGAACAGCAGCTGCACAAGGAAACAGTATGCATTGCCCCCCAGAGAAATAAATGGGAGCTAAGGACACAACTGTTCTTGCATATAGTAGCCATTCCTTTCAAAAGTTGGTGATGTAGGAGACCTGAGAGATGGACTGAGCCCCAAAAAATAAGGAAAAAGAGATGTGGAATAAAGGAAAAGAGGAAATGGAGATTATCAACAGCTCCAGAAATGAAGTGACAAGTATAGCCTGATATTGAAATTAGTTTACCCATATCAAAAGAGCATATTCCTTGTGTTTACCTACATCTTTATGGGGAGGGTGGGGGGAGAAAGGGTTTTCAACATCTCCAATTATATTTCAGTTGTGTACGATTCTTCCATATTCATTTTCATTATTTAAAACATGTAAAGGCGCTTTTTAAACTTCAAGCAAGAAATATGAAAATAAAGTTAAAAAGATCTGCAAAAATTAAATTATATCTAACTAATTAACATTGCAAAACTATTGATTTTGTTTTCTTTCTAAATTCCAAAAATTGAGGTATAGCAAAGGAGATGTCGTCAGTCAAAAAAAGTGTGCCATAAAATAGCTGACTAGTTGGAAAAAAGGATCTCTCTCAGAGATATAAAAATAGTGCATAACAAATGTCAAAAATGGATCAAGGTTTGGCAGGGTTTAAGGTTAGAAAAGAATACTCCAAAATATCTGGAGGATCATGGTTAAGTAATAAATAGGTACACTGACAAATAAATCAGTTAAAAAGCTCTTTTTTTAAAACAGCGTCAACTTCAAAACTTTTAAAAACTTGAGCCACAGCCACAACATAACAGCAGAGTTAGACAAGAACCACATATTATCGAACAGTACAAAAACCACATTGCAGACAACCAGTATAAGAGCAACACTTTGCTTATGTGAAGGATTGTCCTCAAGGGGTTGCCAAGAGCATAACCCTTAGAAACTTCTCTCTTGGAGCAAGACTTTCAGTTCGGCGTTCGCTTTTTTTAGGTGCTTGCTGAAACGTAAAACTACAGAGTAGCTCTTTCTATTAAAACGTAAGGGCTATAGCTGCATTAAAATGTTCAGAGATGGACTAAAACACTGCTACTGGATTTCTTGTATTAACATCACTTTTCCTCCCAAAATCGTGCGAGTAATGTCATTACTTAGAACTCCTTCATCAAAATTAAACACTATGCCAGACAATGAACTCCATTTCATGCAACAGCGACCCAGTTTGACAGAAGATCCCAAAATGCCCAAGGTCATAAAAGCACACACAGTTTGAGCCAGATTCACTGTTGTCTCAACGGTACAATACAGATTTGCAACTAGCTGTCTTTATATTACACCATCTCCATTTTGACTTTGTTTACTTTTTATTACTAAAGTGTTCTATTTTCTTGCATGAGCACATTTTCCTGCTCATTTCTCAGTAGTTTCCCATTTGGTGACTGGTTAGCAGTGGGCTGGCCATCTTTGGTTTATAGGGGGAGTTTTAACCATGAACAATTAAAGAGGGTGAAATTAATAATATTAATTTTTTTAGAAAAAAAACTTTTTTTTACTCAAACTTGTGTCTATGCTATACCACTTCACACCAATTAGAACCACACACCACAAAGTTGCACAGGGTTTACAATACTACATCCAGTCTGCGAAAATCGAATTCCACTACCAACCAGGTCACAAAAGGGCTGCACGTTCTAATCTAAAACTAATTTGCATATTGTACACATGTAGGACATTTTTCAGAAAAAAAGCTTGAGTCACAATAATGCATGCAAGTCTCTTGTTACAATTTTTGCAATCTGCTCATGCTACCTAGTTTCCAGAGCCTAAAAAACATTTGCAATAATGCATTTTTTTTGTTAGATCTAGTGCATGCATACGGTGTATACAAATAAGTAAACATGCAATTTTCACATTCTAAAACTATGGCAGGTTATGCCATATTGTGCTGCCTGCATTTTAATCTGTAATGCAGTGTATCTTAAAACGTTTCAATCCCGTATTAATAGGTGGCATTACACACAACACCTATATAGCAGCAAAGCTAATTCAGCTTGTGATTATAAATGTTTAAAAATAGCTAATAAATCAGATTATCTTGAGGTATTATTTCTTGCAAGTCAAAATGGAGAGCAAAAAATCAACCTTATTTTTTTAATTGATGCATACACTGAAAATAGCAACAACAATAAAAATAAGCTTTTTTGTAGCAGACATATTCCATCTTCACTATTTTTGCTACCTTTGGTAAATTACAGGGGCAGATGTTGAAGTTAAAAACCCATGTTTAGAAATAAGTGCACGCTTCACCCTCTAAATATAGCAGCAGCAGACAATGCGCCCCTATGCAAAAAACATTCTCTTATCTAGTTTTAATATTACATATAAAAATAAGTTGGAGAAATACAAAAAAACTTTTTTTTTATTTTAACATGAAAATATCACAAAAATTAGTGAGCCTGAGATGTAGGGTTTTGGTGAAAAACAAGAGGCTTTGTAGTGTTTTGACTGCTGAAAAAGATGCATGTATTGAGAGTTGGGGTGAGAAGCAGAAGAATGCACTTATTTCTTCTGCATGTCTATATCTTCAAATACAGTAAGCCACATGCACCCTTCCTTCCTTAAGGAGATGCTGGAAAGCCAGGCTCAGTTCCAGCGGAAGTGGATCTGGCGCGGGCGGTCAGCCCCCTCCTTAACCAATGGCTTATGGAATTCACGTCCTGCCCGAGAGTGGATGTTTGCCCAGCAAAACTCACAGTAATACTGCAGGCAAGTGACATTGGCACAAAAAAAGGGAGCAAACTTTCCACCACATCGTGCCCCCTGGCATTCATCACACATCTGATCATCCAACACATATGGCTTTACCTCCACCTGTTTTTTAAAAAAACAAACACACACAGAGAACAAGTGTATGATTAGTACTGAATACAATACACTCGAGAACAGTATTATTAATTTTCCTCCTGTGGCATATATATTGGTTTATCCCATGAACCTAATCTATGGGCTCATTTACACCAACCACTGAGTTTAGTGTGCATCAGGATTAGTCCTGCAGCAACTATACCTTGTACTGGGCTAATCCAGTTTAACCCAGGGCAAGCCACTTTAACATGACCTTGTCCTGGTTTAAGCTAACTTGGGGGAAAGTCTGAATCCTGGTCTGGCTTGGGGGCAAGGAGGACTAGTTCCTAAATGGAATTTGTCATAACTCTCTTCATTGCCATCCCACCTTTCTTGGGGATTCCAGGGATCCATATGGGATGGCAGCCCTCTGCTGTAGTGCAGCTGTCCCCAGTCATAACATGGCACATGCCTTCTCCTGGGTGCATCTGCCTAACATTAGCCTGAGCCACCCAAAGCCAAAAATGATGGGAGGTTATTATTCTCCTCTCCCAGCTCCCTTAGTATGGTGTCACTCTGCCTCACATCAGGCAAGCTCCAAAGAGAAGATAGGTGGTGTGTTGTGATGAGGTCAGCCACAAAATGGACTGCAGGGGTGAGGAGGAGGGGTGCAACACCCCTAGGGGTCTGTCTAGGGTAGTACTAAACAATGTTCATAGTGCCTGAACAGTTGTGACTCCCAGCTACCTCCGAGGCAGCTGAAGGAGTCCTTATAAGGACCCAGGATTAAACCTGCATTTTGTGTCCATGTAGAAGGATCTTATATCAGTGAAGTAATGCTAGCTACCAACTAGCCCTATAATTTCATATTGGAGATGCTTTTCGGAAGGTAGTCCATTTAACACACAAGTACTTGCTATACTATAAAGCTGCAACTTGCTACTGTGTATCTGTGAAAAACAATTTTGATGAAACAAATTTGATATTAACCGCATACAACTTACTCTTTTATCAATATCACCATGTTGAAGCTGAACAAACCGAGCACTAATGGCAGCAATGTAGCTCTGTTGATTGGAAAAAGCAACTCGCCCAGCACCTTTTGGGTACTTTAGTTCAGGATCTGTATCGATTCCTGCGTAACAAACTCCACCATAGAGACGGTCCATTATCATAGCCAATTCCACTAAGAGGGAACAAAAAATACTGAATTAGCACTCTAGCAAACTATGCATCGTGTTAGAGAAGCCGAATTCCCAGAATGAATAACATTAATGTGGCACCCATAAGATAGCTAGTTTAATTTAGTTCAATTCACTCAATTGCAGAGTGTATTTATAATTAATTTTTAGCTGGTGTTGTTATCAGCCAAAATAAATGGGTTTTTTTTAAATATAGTACTGTTCCTGGAATTAATTCATTTACCTGGTACAATAATTTGTAGTAAACACTTTTGAAAAATAAACAACCCTGTTATGAACACAGTGTTAAAACTGTGATCTTTTAAATATATATATATTTAGTATAAAATAACTTTATGTATGGAATATATTTTTATTAATTTGATTTAAACCCCACCTTTCTCCCAACATATGATCCAAGATGGTTTGCATCATTTTAAATGCACCATAGAATACAAAAACAATTGAGATGAAAAGACAATTAAACCACATTTCTATTTAAAATAGGGTTAGCAGACCTTTAAACTATTATAAAATAAAAACACTACACCACTCTGCCCATTGAAAGCTTTACCTGCAGCATATACTTTTATACCTTGAATAAAAGATAGTAGAAAGACAACAGGGAAGGGCTGAACCAACTTCCCTGGGAAGGGAAGAGCAGCCACTAAGAAGGCTCTCCCTTGTGAGAATGAAAAAGCCTTCCCCTGCAGATTTTACAGCATGGCCAAGCGCACACAGGGAGAAACAGTTAGTCTGGACCTAAACTTTGTAGGGTTTTAAAAGCCAAAGTCAGAACTTTTGATTCTGGTTTGAAATGGATCAACAGCCAGTGATTGCAACGTTTTTGGACCTGATGGAGGTTCCACTTTCCAGGCAGGCTAATGTGTCATAACAATCCAAACAGGATATAATGAAAGCATGTACTTCTGTAGCCAGAGCTAAGGTCTCAAAGTACTGTCACAACAGTTTTAGCTGTACAAACACACGCCTGGCCACTGTTGAAACCTAGGCATCCTGGAATGCATGAGAATACCCTCAAATTGTAAAACTGAGATTGCAGATGAAGTGTAATCTCATCCTACACAGCCCAAATCTCCATTCTCTGATCTGTCTTTCAAACTAAGAAGGAGCCCCTCTGTCTTATCTGGATTAAGTCTCCATTTATTTTCCCTTATCCACACTATTACCAATAACAATGTCAAGCAAGTTGTCTCTGATTTAGTACAGAGGCAGCTTTCTTGGACTGGATGGAAAGAAGATGCTGGATTGGATGTCATCAAGTACTAGTGACATCTAACTCAAAAACTACAAATGACCTCTTCCCAGTGGTTTCATATAAATGTTAAATAGCCTGGGGGACAAAGTGGAGCCCTGATAGATCCCACAAACTAATAGTTGAACACCACTTTCTGAAGTTGCCCCTCCAAGTGGCTGGCAAAACGTATTTGTTATTGTTTTAATCAACTTCTAGAAGCCAGTTCTGCTGGTTAAGCACTACTAAGAATAAGGTGAAAAGCATTAAAGCAAGTCAGGTATGACAACAGTGTATTTCCATGCACTGAAAGTTACTTTTTCTAAATAATTATATTATCTCAAATCAAAGTACCCTGATTTAGCCATATTGGAAGGAAAGAATTATATATGCCCTCAAATGAAAATGGATTACTAAGATTAGTGCAGTGTTACAATTGGCCGTAAGACATAAGATGTGCTAAGCTTACCAGCTCGCAATGGTCTGGGAACACCACCAACAAAAATGGTTTTTCGAGGATCAAGAGGCTGTGAACCATCCATCACAAAGTCACTATCACTTAAATTCCAAGGACGGATCTGAACCTATTAAAACACAGTACAAGAGCAACATGTTACTTGAGTTGAATTATTTCAATAAAATTGTATTTTCATTGGTCTTTATAAAACGGTAGCTGGTGCATACTGGCATGTGTTACCCAGATTTTTGATGGGATTTGCATTTTTAAAGTTTCTGAACCTTTCAAGGTGGGACTGGTCTACATCTTCTAAAACATATAGTTCTAGATTTCAGAGGAAGATTGCCACCTGAGAAGCAACCTGAGAAGCACTGGGGGATGTATAGGACTATGAATTTAAATTATAAGTAGTTTCACTCCCCTCTCCAGTCTCAAGTAATACCAATGGATATTACTCTAATGCTCCTATAAAAGGTACTTTATGTGCAAAAGAAGTGTAACAACAAACTACAAACCAAAATATGTTGCACACTACCCTTTCAGCTGAAACAGTAATATGGGGATAAAAGCAATGTATAACATTGCAGGATTGTTGTAAACTACTATCTTAAACTGCAAACATAATTCCTCTGGACAACAGTGTAGGGTTGCCTTCGGTCACGAGAGCATGCATTAATAATCAGTGTAAATTATACAGTAAAACTGCCATAAGGCTGGACCTCATTCTCACATCTTCTTTCAGCATGGAAAAATGAATGGGATTGTTTTTTGTAGGTGGATTCACATGATTCTTTTTTTTAAAAAACACATTGAATATGACTTGAGTTAGACTACGTAGGGTTGTGTCTCTTTGTTATTGTTTGAGAAGGTGAGAGGAAGGCAGTCAAGTGGTGTAAACTCTGGTTATTTTAGAATGAGAATCAGCCAGACTGAGCCCCTTCCCCCATGCTGCTTTTTGCATCTCCCTTCTCTTAGTTTCCCTTATTCTGACCAAAAAAGGAGAACTGCTTCTTTTAAAAGACTCAAGGAGTGGCAATTCATTTTTAAAATGGGCTGCAGATATTCCCTGCAACGTTTAACATAAAAAAAAATGTTTTTCCAAAACCAGAAATAAACTCCAGCCACTTCTTTATGGTTTTAAAATCTTCATTTCTGGAGGGAATAAAACTGTGCCCTGGTACAGGACAGATGACAATCAATTTAAAAAATATCCGTTATTGCTATTTCTCCAGTGTTACTGCCATCCCCATAGGCATTTGAAAATATCTTCTCACTGATACAGAGATTGGCTATCTTGACAAAAATGTTTTAAATCTATATGCCACTTCCTTGTCCTCCTTTTTATCTACTCCATTTAAATTGTTCACTTCCACATCAATCCTCAGCAGCTGTTGTTAAAGGAGAAAAGAAGTGCCACATTAAAGACATTCACTAATTTTAACATCTTATGTATTTTTGGCCCTCAATGAAAAATTGTTTTCATCACCTTCAGACAGATGGCAAATAGGACCTCAAGGCTCTCTTGTATATACTTACTGGCTTATCCTTGATAGTGGGGCTGGAAACACACAGATAAAGCTTTCCATCTTCTTCTATGCAGGCATCAATCAGCGCTTGAACAGAACTCTCCTCTTGGAAAAGGAGGAATGCATAACCTAGACAGCAAGGAGTAGGAAAATGCATATATAGTTAATGTTCTCCTACAATTAATGCATAACTTATGGAATAATGTGTTCACTATATTCATAACCCATGTTTCAGGTAAAGCCACCTTCTGGAGATTTACCCTGAAATTTGGAATATTCTTTGTTTCTTTCTATTTATATTTTAGGCATTCATACCTTGTCCCACACTGAATTCTTAATGAACCTTATACAGTTACATTTCAATCTGCTATAGCTGTGTGAATCCAAAGTAAACATTTAGCAGGGGGTTGGACTGGATGGCCCACGAGGTCTCTTCCAACTCTATGATTCTATGATTTTTTTTATTCTGATTGGTACTGAGCTGCTGTTGTCTTTGATTCCTTATCAATATTGGGACATACAGTAGTGCCTGGAGAGAGATCTACAATAGGATCTCGAGGGGAATTGTACGATTTTTCCCTCACAGGGTGGCATTGTAGTATAATGTAGGCCAATTCACAATTATCAATTTCAGGGGCAGCCTGTGCTTCTGCCATAAGAGTGTCATGGATTTCCCCTTCAGAATCCTGTTGCTTGATGACTGGCAACCAAATGAGATTGGTTAAGGTGGTGTAAAGATGGACATGGGAGTTGGTAGAGCAGGTCAAGGGCTGTGGCAATCTGATCCTGACTTGAACAAGAGATTAATGTAGATGTTGGGAAAGATGGTGGAATGAGACTGGTCACCCTCTGTTCCTTGCTTTTCTTTCTCTTGTGCTTCTTCCTGGGTTCCTCAGGGACTGAATTGCCCACGGTGGGGGGTTTCTCCCCGGAAGCAAGTAAGTCCAAGGATCCTGCCAGCTGCTTGCATATCCTTTAAGGGCAAGTAATATTTTCCTGAAAGGTCTTTGCTGATGTCAAAGTGGAGATTGAGACTGATTTAGCCAGAGTGGAAATCTTGCTTGAGTGGAGCAGAGGATGAAGGGGCTGAAGAAGCTTTTGAAGGAACCAGGGATTTGGATGCTGGAGCGACAGCCTTGAAGAGGTAGATTGCTCGGGACTGGCTGGTCCTAAAGGTCTTGAAGAGCAGGGCTTCCAGCCTTGACTTGCGATTCTTAAGAGCTGTGGGAGTGAACAGCTGGCAATGATTGTCAGGTGGCTCAACATGGGTCTCTCCAAGGCAGGGGAGACAACAAGGGTATCCATCATTGTTTGGGATCTTCTGCCCACAATCCAAGCATTTATTGAAAGAAATAGTCACCATCAAAGGAGTCGAGATGCAGGACAGAGCTGAAGTTGAACGAAAAGGGATGTCAAGCAAGAGTAGTCCAACACTAGATTGGAGTCAGGGCCAAGAGAAAAAAACGCCAGAATGGTCCACGTGGCTGAGAGCTGAGGTTCCTATCATTCTGCTGCTGCACACATGAAAAGGAACTAAGGCTCTAGCAATGCCTGCCTATTTTAACTATCAGAGAGAGTGAGGAGAACTACCACCAAAAACTATTACTTAGAGCTCTAGAAGGTTCTGAACTTTTCTGTGCAGGTGCAGAACAAACCCATTTCTGTGATTCACAGGGACTATGGGGTTCAGCTCTGGTAAAGGATAAAACACACCTTCTTGCTCCTGCTCAGTTGGCAGCATACAATGCTATGGCTCGTACAAAGAAATAATAAGCAAGCCTTGAGGGCTAGTTCACATATAAGAGTCAGCCACTTATTTTTTTCAAATAATTTACTATGTAGCTAGAACATTGTGGAGAAAGCACAGTGGACTCTTGATATCTGCTGTGGTTTGGTTCTAGGATCCCTCACTGATAACCAAAATTAATGTATGCTTGTCCCATTATATACAATGATGTAGTAAAATGGAATCCCTTATATAAAATAACAAAGTCAAGGTTTGTTTTTAGGATTTTTAATATATGTGTGTGTGCCAAAAATGTGTTGAAATTACCTTCCAACTCCAATGAACACAGAAATAGCTCCTGGAGCTTATTTTGTATACCCAATCCTCACTTTGAATTTTCTCCAAAGAGGAAGAATAAAAGCCTATGTGTGAATTAGTTTTGAATTCTCTAAGAACATATTTATATTTAATGGAGAACTCAGGAAGAAATACCTTTTGGTGGAAAATATGATTTGCTTTCTGCTTTGTGGGGCCAATCAACTACTAGAGGTCCAAATCGTCTGAAGCTAGCGGTGATTTCATCTAAAAATGGATATAAATAATTCCAGTTAATATATTATGTTGCATTTCCTTGCATACCATTTTTTATAACTTCTAAATCATCAAGCTGCTGTTGTAGTTGTTTGAACAGAAAAAAGCATTATAAAAAAATAAAATTAAGGCGTAAACTCAGAAAAATTTCTGAGATGTTCTCAGCTTGACTTAAAAACAATTTGGGATTTGCAAGCATTCCTCATAAGGAACTTATCTGAAGAGTTTTCTTTTAACCTTTTAATTATCAAATTATATTATGTTTTTCAAAATCAACTAAAGGTTAATGCCCCCAAAACCACACAAAACTCTAAAACAAACCCCCTATAATATCCCATACTTTCTCCCCAATCCTACCAACACAGACCAGCAACTAACCTCTATCCCCCCTGTTTAAGACAGAATATAAGGTAAAACAGGTAAAACCATAAAAATACAAAAATCTATTTAAAAACACAACTGACCTTTCCCCTCCTCAAAGCAAACTACCTGTTTTTACTCGAGTCTAGCACACCCTTTGATTATAACGCACACCTCAATTACAAGGTGCACATTACCAAAAAATGGATTTGCCATCCATTTTGTGCACCTTCCCAGCTGAGTGCAAGCAGAAGCAATGCCCTTCCACTTAGAGCCTTGGCTTGGTGTGTGTGGGGGGGGGGGGGGGGGGGGGGCTGTTCCAGCTCTCAGCTGAGAGGAGAGGAAAAAATCCATCTGGGAAGGGAAGGGGGTTGCTTCTCCCTTCTCTCTCAGCTGAGAGAGGAAAGAGAAGCAGCTGGGAAAGGACACAGTTTCTCCTTGCCTCTCAACTGAGAGATGAAGACGAAATCAGGTGGCTGGAAGAGAAGTAATGCCCACCCCCCACCCCTCCATGCTGAAACTGGTGAACTCACCAGCCTCTGCATGGCAGAGGGGCAGAGGCAACGTTTCGACGCACAATTGTAATGTGCCATTGAATGTAACATGCATCTCCATTTTGGTTAAGCAGTTTTTTGCCCAAAAAAAATGAGCACTGCATCTTTGTATCATGACCTTAATATTTCTCAAAATGCATTTCCTTTTAATTTGAGATAGTCTTCATGCCTCCCCATTTCAGTCAATTTCTGTGCTTCAGAACAAAAATAAGACCTCCCTTTCACCCATATTATATTTTAGGTGTGTGAGTAGATTTTGGATGAATCCTATCTTAAAAGAAAGATGGGATATACATTCAAGAAATGCAATGAAATAAAAGTATTATGAAGAGATCTTCCCCCTCCTAAAAGCGGAGGCAAGGAAAGGCAGAAAGTTCACATAAGTGGAAAAAGAAAGGGTGGAAAAGTGTAACATCAATAATTGTTTAATGGGACATATTACACTTATGAATATGACTCAGTTTCGTTTCCCTGAGCACCTTACCAGCCACCTAGTATTTAACTGTGAGCATTTGTGGAATACTCCATGCAATCAAATATGATGAGTCATGTCAAAAACAAGCTCTCCCAAATAGCAAGCTGTAGCTGCTCATTGTCAGAATGCAAGTAGGAGATCTGACAGTGGAACAAAACTAATCAGGGAGTCTAGAGGAAACTTTTCATATGTTTTGCTGAGTAGGTAACACATATTTTATTACTTTAAAATCTGTGATAGATTGGTAGGCATGTCACTTGATACTGGGGCCTATTACCCTATGCTGTGCCAAGGCTATCTAGTGGTAAATAATAAAGTTGTAGCTATTTTTGTTCTCCAGCAATTTGATAATGTATTTTTTTTTATTTAACCCCTCACACTCCCATCTCCTTTAATATATGTCTGGAAGAGGGCCTGCCTATCCACTTCCACCCTCTCTCTATAGAGTACTCACAAAGAATTCAAAGCTTACAGCTTTCCACGTTTCTACGGAGAAATAAATGCCACAAAATACACCGGAATTTCCAGCCTTGACACTACGCTTCCGTAGTCATGGAATGGCAGGATCTCTAAAGAAAACAGGCTTTTGCCAAGGAGTCACAATATATTTGCCAAATAGCAGTTGGGGAGAACACTGGCAAAGGATCCCTTAAAGCAGTGGTTCCCAACCTGTGGTCCGTGGACCACAAGTGGTTTGCAAGAATTAAAATATGGTCCACCACACCATTACTACATTGTTGCAATGAGAATGACTGGTCTTGCAAAACCCTCTTATAGTGCCAAGGCTTATGAAATATGGTTTTCTGTGGACGAGCAGATGGCGACTACTGGATGGCATATGTTCTGTATCAAAAACTAGAACTGATGAGGCCTATCCAATGCAGTTTTCTAACCAAACTAAATCTAAAGTTGATCAAAAACTGATTCGTAAGCCTTTTGGTACTAATGTTGGAGAGGGTTCCCTGGTCAAAGTGGTCCCTGGTTAAGTGGCCCCTGGTCAAAAAAAGGTTGGGAACCACTGTCTTAGCGATAATGTCAGTGGCACCACAATTAACTTTTACTGAGTTAGTATTTCACAGAAGAAGTAAACCACTCCTGAAGGTTTTTACTCTGAGAATGCTATGATAAAACAGTTCAAAATGAAACAATATATACAACTGAAAGATGAGACTGTCAGCTCAGAAGGAACTTAAACAGCTCCTGAGACCGAAGCAGAGGACAGATATAAGTGTACTGTGACTAATGAAGAGGAAGACTGCACTACAGGAGGATTGAATCAGTCACGAAAATGATGGGCCCAAGTTTGTAAACCTAAACTGGACATCTGATCACTGGGGATCTTGGAGGTGTCTTATTCATATGGTCACCAAGAACAACAGAACTTAATCTTAACTAAATAAGTACAGGATGGAGGCACTCACTGAAGTACTTTCCACTTGCTCCAGTCCTAATTTTATTCTACAGAAAACCAACACTACCCTTGCTCTCCACCATGTATCAAGGAACTCACCTTCATCAATGTCTGGAGGAAGACCACCAACAAACACCTTCCGAGAGAAACGTTCTATTCGCTCTCCATTCTGATGAGCAGAATAGCAGGCAGGGGAATTTATCACACCCACTTGATCACTATGACCATCTTCCAGCAAGACATCATCTATTGGAAAGAGGGAAGAACGACCTGGAGGGAAAAGAGAATGAAAATGGAAGAGTGAGCAAAACTAAACTTCAAATTGCTGAACTTGAATCTGTATGTGTCACTATGTGTATCTTGATATTGTCAGATACCTTGTTAGTGCTTTTTTTTGTATTTGGTTGATGTGGAGGTAGGATGTCAATTGACCTTGCACAATGATCAAATTTTCCACAAAATAAATGGCTGTTAGTGGGGACTCTTACAGATAAAAAGCAGGTACAGGGTGGATGGGAGACATTGCATAGTAAGCATGTAGAACTTTTACACTAATATACCCTGTGATGCAGGATCACAGTCTGTGTTTGTGGGTTTTGTTTTCTTCATATTTCTGCATTGATAGAATATGTATATATTGATTTTTTAAAAATATAAGATAGCAAAAGATTACTGAAATAATGTTGAACTTGATTTATTTACTTGATCACTATCTTAGTTCCTCCCCATTTCTACATATGTATATAATAATATTTGGGATGATAACCAAGGAAGAATGGGCTATAACAATGCTATGTTGTCTACTTCCTGACAGTTTTTCCTCCTGTTGTTAATATTTAAGTTTTCAGAAACAGATATGAGAAAAAAAATGGGTCCATGTACTTAATATATTATGTAGTTTAGCCCATAACAAATTTTGCTCAGGTGTAATAGACATCTGAAATGGCCCGGTCTACGAGTTTGGCTCATGTGATTTTAATATTTTTATTAGGTATTTTTAGTTTTATACTTCATGTTTAAATGTCCTATTATCTTATGGTGAATCATCCTATTGTATTTTATGCTTAGTCATATGTTGTTTGATTTATGATTTGGTTTATGTATGGAAGGCATTGAATTTTGCCATTATATTTTGTAAACCACTTTGATTCCACCCAGGGGTGAGAAAAGCAGTATATAAATACTGTTAATAAATAAATACATTCATTATGGAGAAAGTAACACTGTATGACCATACTAGTTTGTTGTAAAGATTACTGAAATCATGCAACCGAAATGCTCTAAATATTATAAAGTATTGTATACATATGAATACTTTAAGGAATAAAAATAAGTAGCATGAAAGTCTGATGTTTCGAACTGAAAAAAATGTCATTTAGTATGCATTAAAACATACTAAAACATTAAGAAAGCGGTCTGATTCAACTCATTTTTGACAGCTTTCATATCAAGTATCAAACCTGAGGCAGGTCATGGACATGACTGAATTGTCTTCAGTGTTCCAAGACAAAAACACATCGAGGAAAAGATAAAATTGAGAAGAAATGAATGAATGCCTGGGTGATTTGTTCATAATAAACTAAGTGGATAGAAATACTTCAGAACAGATCCATTTCATTTCTTTGGGCAACGTTTTATGACAAAAACATATTTTGATTCAATTCTGGTGTGAAAGCCCCACAGGCGTTCTGAAACTCAGCAGAACCTAGCCTGATAATTGCCTAGAAACAAAACCACAAAAGAGCAAACTCCTCCCTGCCTCCCTACACCTAGAAAACTTTGCCAAAGGATAAAGAGAATGATATATTTTTGAATTCCTCAGCTTACTGCTCTACAGATGTTTTGGATTTCATGCTCTCATCAGTTATGATGGCTTAGGTAAGGGATAACACACCTGAAACCCAAAACATTGGAGTACTTTAAAAATAATGACAGCTTTTCCTACTATGCTAGGGAAAGCTGCTATAATTTATTTTTAAAAGTACTCCAGTGCTCTTTATTATTATATCAACTATGTTGCAAGTACGTTATCTCTTTGCCCAAAGCATTAGTCACTCTTTATCTCTTAAACAAGAAGTTGTAAAGTCCTATTTGCACATTAAGAATCAGTGAGATATAAACAGAAGGTACAGACGATTGGTACCATGGCTTCTTTCTCATGATTTGTAATTCTTTATACATATGAACAGCATCTGTCCTTTCTCTATGGAGGCTCTCAACTTCTGAAAATTGGGCTCCATCTGTGCATTATGGAAATTATGACAAAGGTGGTAGGGCTGGTACAAATTCTCTTGGTTTGTTTACTGTACATTGATGTTAATATTTGAAAATGACTTTGATTTCCCAAAAGACAAAGAAATTCTATATTCTAGGAATAAGAACATATTATTATCTCTAGGTAATGGACATATGTGAAAAACATAAGGTATAATTACTGACCACTGAATGTTTCAATAACTCTTAAAAAATTACTAAAAGCAATTCAGCTGAATTCTGGTGAACTAACATGGATGCCAACTACACAGAAAACAAATCATAGTTAAGAACAGGGGCGAGACAAAAGGAAGTAAGGGTAATCTATCCCACCTACCTCTCCGAACGCATCTCCAGCTATGAACCGACTAGGACATTAAGATCGTCCGGAGAGGCCCTGCTCTCGGTCCCGCCTGCGTCACAAGCGCGGTTGGCGGGAACGAGAGACAGGGCCTTCTCGGTGGTGGCCCCTCGGCTATGGAATGCCCTACCCGCTGACATCAGACAGGCCCCTTCGTTGCTGGCGTTCAGGAAGAAGGTCAAGACGTGGCTCTATGAGCAAGCGTTTGGCTAAACGGTGCAACTAAACTTAAGAAGACGGCATATCGAACACTGGAATGGCATAAGGATATTGAGAAACAGATTCTGATTGTATTGAGGCGTTAATAGGATCATTAATTGTTGTTGTCTGTTGTTTATGATGTGTTTTAACCACTTGTTATTGTTATGATAAATTGCACTGTGTAAACCGCATTGAGTCGCCGCCTGAGGCTGAAAAATGCGGTATAGAAATAAAGCAAATAAATAAATAGGAATGGAAATTTACTCCTGAATGAGTTATTATGAAGAAAAGGTGTCTCAACTGAATGTTTGTCATCAATTTTACAGAATTCTACAAACCTACAGAACCTATCTCATTTGTAACTTGGGGACTTTTTTTTTTGTCGTGTCAGGAGTGACTCCTGGTGTGAGGGAATTGGTCGTCTGCAAGGACGTTGCCCAGGGGACGCCTGGATGATTTGATGTTTTTATCATCCTTGTGGGAGGCTACTCTCATGTCCCAACTTGGGGACTGCCTATATAACACACAACACACTGGCCACTTTCTATAGTTACTCATTCCTTACCATGCAGACACTCACTCAGTTCTGGGCCATGTCAAACAATAGCTGTGTGTAGGACAGGAGTGAACAATGTTAGTGGTTCTTGAGGCAATTTCATTGTCAGGTTTTTACACCCTCTCATCCATTAGATTTTTTTAAAAGTCCGATTAAACCCCTATTCGTGCATTAGTAAATTCCCATTTTTGTAGCCCCGACACATTTGGTGGTAGAAATTCCACTTCCTCTATCTCAAATTTTCATTAAAGATATCTTTGTACTTAGAAAAAGTTAGGGTCATTGTGGGGAGGGCAGAGAAAGATAGTACAGGCAGTCCCTGAGTTACAAACACGTGTGCCTTATTTTAAAAAGGAACTGTGTACCTGGAAGTATGATCCCCTTTTGAACAGGACATGCATACCATACATACTTTGCTTTAAAGAATAGTGTTTTTCTCTAATTCTACTGCTGATTGTTGTTATTGTTATTAATATTATCTTTATATGTGGCAGACCAAGGTGAACTGTATATTTGGGGACACTGGAAGGGTAAAATGAGTGCCTACAACCTACAATTTCCATCAATCTCAAATAACATTTCCATGTAAGAAACGGAGTGTACATCCTGCATTTTGTGATTTATACTCATGCTCTCTCACACATTCACAGAGAGTGACAGTGCTATATATAGATAGATGTTGCTGTCAACTGATGACCAAAAATAAAAATCAAATAGACTATGTAATCAGAAGCAAAACATGGAGAAACCCATTTTCCCTGCAAAAACAAAACTAGGAGCAGCTTGTGGCACAGACCATAAACTGCTAATGTCAAAAGTAGAGTAAACCTACATTAAATCAACCACTACAACCTAAGAAACATCTACATATAAATTAAAGATAATGTAACAAGTAAATTTGCACTATTAAGCATAATTGGCTAGAGGAATTTTGAACTGAAGCCAGGGACATTATCAAGGAGAAATGCAAAAGAACATTATCTTCTGCCAATAAGAAAGAGAAGCCTCAATGGATGGCAGATGAAATTTTTCAGGCAGTTAGGAGCAGACAAGAAGCAAAAGCAAAAAGTGACAGAAATACATCCAGAACTGTGAATGTGATTTCTCTACAGACTGGGGAAACCAGTAGGGGGGCGCATTGCATGATCAAATAGAAATAAAAATAAAATTGTAAAAATACACTGACAAACTACACAAAAGAGTTATTTATTTATATATTCATTTACTTTATTTTTATCTTGATTTTCCGCCAACATAGCACAATACAAATAAAAAACAAAGCAAATGCATGTAAGTTTGAATACAATTTTTAAACCATTAAATCTTTGTGTCAAGATGCATAACTAAACTACAATAAAACAGAATTAAAATTACAGTTAAACCTACACCTCTCCCTAAAATCCCACACACATAATGCACAACAGCCTGTCCCTCATTACTTTCTAAATGTCTGATGGCAAAGGTATGTCTTCAACAGCCTGTGAAAGGCAAGCATGGATGGATCATCCTTGTTTCATGGGAGAGAATTCCAGAGTCTGGGAACAGCCACCAAAAAGGCCCTCTGCCTGGTTCAGACCAAATCCACTTGAGTGGATGGTGGGACAAAAAGGAGGCCTTTTCCAAAAATTCATACAGTTCTAACAACCTCCTACAGAGAGATAAGGTCATTTAAATAACCTGGACTCAAGCCAAAAATGGCTTTATAGGTCAAAAGGATGACAGATCAATTCAAGAAATAATTTAAAATATTATAAATTGGAAGCTGCATTCAGGGCACTTGGGAGAAACAAATCACAGGGAACAAATGGCATTTCAGAGAGCTGCTTCAAACTACAGGGATGGAATCTACTCTAATTCTAACTAACATCTGACAATAAATATGAAAAACAAAATAATAGCCAACCAACTAAAAAAGTTAAATATATATTCCCAATCCCCAATCAAGGGTTGCAGTAACTACTGAATCATTTCATCAAATTTTCATATAAAATGATGCTCTGAAGAAGACATTTATCATATATGGACTAAAAATGCCAAAGCTGGTTTCTGGAAAGGAAGATCTACTACAAACATATATTGGATAATGAAGCACGCCAAAGCATTTCAGAAGAAAATAAACCTGTGCTTTCTACATTATAGTAGACCCCTTCATTGTGTAGATCATGAAAAACTATGTGCCACTCTTAAAAGAAATTGTGTATCACAACATTTGATGGTACTGATAACCTGTATGTAGGGTAAGAGGTTATCATCAGGACAGAAAAAGGAAAGCAGAATGGTTTCTAATTGGCAAGGGGGCCAAGCAATAATGTGTTTTATCGCCCTGCCTGTGTGTTGAACATATATGTAAAGCAAGCTTAGACTCGGCAGTAGGTGTGAAAATTGGAGAAAAAACAGCAACAATTTAAGATACACATACCATAGTATTATCAGTAAACAGCAAACATTTGGAACAATAAATTAAGAAAGTCAAGGAAGAAAGGAAAAAAATATTTGTACAACTAAACAATAATGACCAAAGATGGTTTAAATAACTTTAAAGTAGGTGCTGTGAGCAGTAAAGATTTTCTTTACTTTGGGTCAGTTATTAACCAGAATGGAGACTGTGGTCAAAACAGACTAGGACTTGGAAGATCAACTATGAAGGAACTAAAAATGCACAAACTCATTTGAAATGCACTACTGGGCAAAGAGGTCTACAAATACTATGGACTGCTTAAAAAGACCAAAAAAAAAAAATGAATTTTGGAGCAAATCAAGTTGACACTTTCCCTAGAAGTCAAGATGATAGAGACCGTCATACAGTGGCCATATTATGAGAAAACAAGACTGACTAGAAAATATACTAATACTTGGTAAGGTTGAAGGCAGCAGGAAAAGCTTTTACCCTATTTCAGATGGTAAGATTCAAACAAGGAAACTACTTCCCTGACTCTACAAGATCTGTTGATAGGGCAGTGGTTTTCCAACCTGTGGGTCTCCAGATGTTTTGGCCTTCAACTCCCAGAAATCCTAACAACTGGTAAACTGATTGGGGTTACTGAGAGTTGTAAGCCAAAATGCCTGGGGACCCACAGGTTGAGAACCACCGTGATAGGGTGACTTGGAGGTCTCTCACTCATAGGGTTGCCTTAAATCAAGGTCAACTTGACTGCAGTTAACAACATGCTAAATAATTATTCTGACTTGCTTTCATGTTAATTCTCAGTACATCAAAAATGGAATCCATTGCATTATATATCCAAACTTCATCTTTACTTTTCAGAAGAAGTCACTGACCTCCTGTATCTCTGTTTTTAGACAAAGTTGCAGTGTTTTATTTAAGTTGAAGGATTTTTTTTAAAAAAAATACAGCAGATTTCATTTTTTAAAAAGCAAATTAATAGGATAAGGACCCAGCTCAGAGATATCATGATTACTAAGTATGAACATCTAATTATAACTTCATGAATATGCTAATGATACCATAATTTATAGTTAGGAAATTATTCTGTTCTATGGGTGGTGCACATGAAATGACACATACATATACTGTCTCTGTGCCCTCCCTACAAATAAAATGAAGAGTTGTTTTCTGATGGGAAACCCTTTTTAGAAAGAAGAATTGTCAGGAAGTATGTAATTTATACACAGAACCACAAAATTCTACAATCATGTAACATACAAAATCAGTATCTGAAATAGTTAAGATTTTTGCAGGATCATGCAAAATAAATGGAACGATCTGTGATTAAAATTCAACTGTTAGTTTATTACTTTATTATCATAACTTTAACAAGAAATAATTGGCACATTCAGAATCACTGATTTGGAGTATATTAATTAGCAGTATAACCCCTCCAATTCCATTCAGCTTTGATTTATTATAGCAAACAATAGGGAATATTACCTCGTCTTCGCCCATAACTCCTTGCTGCATGTAAACAAAGGATAAATTGTAAAATGACAAAGAACTACAAATAGCCTTATGGGAATGTAATTATGTAGAAGTTTTGCAGGTATAGTAGAAAACCTCAATCCACAAGTCAATTGTTGCTGATATTTAATTTTATATTCATTTTATAAAAAATATATTAAGCACTGTGGATACTTTATACTTAAATGCATATTTTGTTTGGATAATTTTCTTGAAATTGTCCTGCAAGAATAATATCTTGTAAGATTGTGCATATTGTAATAAACTTACAGTAACACATCGAATGTAAACATTCTGTATCTTGCATTTTTTGGCTTTACATCTCATGACAAATAGAACTGTATTACAGAGAACATTTTCATTATTAATGGCGGAAACAAAGAAAAACGAATCTGAGAAAAGCACTGGCTGTTGGGACATTTTGTACTTTGCAGTGGTGGTATAAACACGAAAGCCACAGCCTTCACTTGGAATGAAACAGCTTTAAGAAAAATTAACTCAATGGCTCTTGTCTGGAATAAAAGACTCCTTCTGAACATAGATTAGGCTTACAGATAAGATGTGTGCATATAAATATACATTTCCTCTGCCTGGCACCAAAGTGTTGCATCTTGGCTTAATGTACCCAAATGGGCTTGACTTGTGCACTATAGTTGGAATGTTCTGCATACATATGCAAAATGATAGTAATCCAGGAAATAAATAGGTATATAAACCATTGAGTTGGAAGAGACATTAAGAGTCATCCAGTCCAACTCCTCTGCCATGCAGGATGACAGAATCAAAACACTCTGGAGAAATGGCTAAAAAGTTCAGAGAAAGAGAGTTTACTGCTCTCTTATTAATTTAGCTTAGAATTTCAATGGTTTTTTTAGCTGCTACATCATACTCCTGACTCATGTTCTATTAAGACTCCGAACCCTCTTTCACACGCACTGCTTTCAAGTCAGGTGTCCCCAAGTCTATATCTCTGCTGTGCATTTTTATTGCCTAAGTGTAGTATCTTGCATTTCTCCCTGTTGAAATTGATTTGGTTAGTTTTGCCCCAACTCTCTAATTTGTTAAGGTCATTTTAGATTCCAATCCAATCCTCTGGGGTACTAGCTCTCTCTCCCAATTTGGTATATTCTGCAATTTTGATAGGTATCATATTTCACTACATAATAGCGGCACTTGCGACTAGTAGGCGGTGGAGGCTATTAAATGGTAAAAAGTAGTTCCAGTTACAGGGGTGAACGAAGGATGCGACTATTAGCAATGGATACCAGGGGTGCTGATTTTGCCTCTCTGAAAATGGGGGGATGACTACTATGCAATGGCAACTATTATGCAAGAAAATACAGTATGTTGTCTTCAGTCTTGCCATGAATGATAGAAGAAAGTTTGGCAGCAAGACCAATAGTTACTCCATGTTTTTCAGGACACTTTAAGAAAATAGATCTGATAGAGTATGGTTAGATACAAATAAGTATAGATAGATCCAAGAGGGTAAAGTCATTAAATCAGTGGTTTAGGTAAGTATAGAATTCAGCCATGATCATGATGCCAAACTGCATTCATTCTACAGTGTAGATGCACCTGAAGCTTGCAGTTATAAGAAAAGAGAACCTCTTTGGGGTGGAAACTTAAACTTAGGACCCAAAGCAGCCAGAATAGCATCAAAGCAGTGCTTTTAGTTCAGGGTAGCCTATTTCCAGCTGTTCTAGTCCCAACATCCTACATAACAAGTGTCAATCTGTCAGGTATCATCTAAACAACAGTTTGAGATAGCCATCATACTATAGTATGTGTAGCAACAGTGTTGGTTTTTAAGTGTCCAGTACAGAAACCATGCAGATGTTAATTACAAAATAATTAAAGAAATTACAAAAAATGTATTATAAATGCAGCCAGGCAATCTTGATACCTCCACAAAATAATTCCAGATGGTACGACATGGCAAATAACATGTAATACATATACATCTATTGCTTGTACTGATTGGAGGAGTATCTCAAAATATGCGTGTTGACAAAAATGCCCTTGACACAAAGATGAATAAAACATAAAGATGTCTCAGTGTTCTATAAACAGTCTATACACCTTCTATTTTTATTTACTTATTTATTTGCAATTAAAGCAACGCTATATTCATTTCTATGTCTCCTTCACATGTATCTAAAATGTTAGGTGAAGTTGAGAACTCAGATGTTCGTTTTCATAATGCTGGCTTTTGTCACAGGCTAAGCCAAGGCTACTTCAATCTTGCTTTCCACAACATCACACATAACACAAGAAGCGCTGATATGTCAAGGTGCTGGTTCAGCTGAAACTGAATATATGTCATGGCTGGTTGATCACAGGAAAAACAGATGGAATATTGCAATCTCATGAAGTCTTCTCTCCCCTATACTATGCACAAAGGATGATGATGTCTTAGTCAAGGAGACCAAAAAGAAGGAAAACATTTAGCCTTTTGGGGAGATAAAGCAAGATATTAATAATAATAAGAAGAAGAAGAAGAAGAAGAAGAAGAAGAAGAAGAAGAATTTTAGAACGACAAGGGAATATAGTTTAGATCTTCAAGAAAATCACCATTTTGAGTTATCATGAGCTGCTGGTGTCATGATACTTTAAGAAACAACCTTGTTAATAGAGGTCTTCCACATGAAACCTAACAACATTGCAACAAACCGCATTGAGTCGCCGCCTCAGGCTGATAAATGCGGTATACAAATGAAGTAAATAAATAAATAAATAAATTGCAGTCCTATATAAATCTACTCAGAATTAAGCCTTTTCTCTAGCTAGTACCAAGTGTTTAGAGGATTACAGTCTAATCTTTGGTGCAGCAAGAGTCTTTATTACTGTTATAAATACAGATAATTATTTAAAGTTAACAATTATTGGGTTAAAAAGACATGCCAAGAACAATATTGGGATACTTCATCTCAGGCAAACTGAGGAATACCTGCTGCTGCCCAGGTATGTAACCAATATGGGGAAAGGGGCTTTTTTCCCCTTTCCTTCTCTTTTTTATTTTTGAACTTTACCAGAAGTATATCACAGAGTCTGTCCTCTTTCAACCTCACACCCTCTTTTTAATATATCAGGAATTTCAGCACAGTGTCTTATCCCCTGCTTGTTTCTCTTTTCCTTTTCCTCATTCAAACTTCTTAATACAGTACCACAGAGAACCCATTTCTAACAAATCTTACCTGGGACTGTACTTAATAACTTTAAATGCCTCTTATTTTCCTCTCCCCTTTTAATTTCAGTAATATCTTTGTTGTAACATCAGTACCTAGGAGAACTCTCTCACATTTTTCCACTTTAGAAAACAAGCAGAAATATTAGCAGCAACTAGCTCTGTTTTCCTACCTTTTTCCTGCCTCAGAAAACTTTGTTGCACTGGATCAGAAAGACCTGTTTCTAGACCTTAAAAATCTAGTTTTTTAAGTTATAGCAGGTCTGTCTTTTTTTGCTTCTATGAAACCTCTTTGAAACTTAGACTTAGAACTGGCCGCTAGATGATAACTAAAATCAGGAACACTGTTAGACACCTACCAAGATTTCTTGATGAATTAAGTATCCAGTTTGGAATTTTTGACTTTTCAACAAGAAACTGGGTATTGCAATTTGTAAAACAAACACAAGCACTCTGTGAAATTTTAGGGTATCAAAATGATTTCCAAATGAATTATTGTTGTGTCCAAGAAAACACAGTTCTCTGAAATGTTAGAGTGTGGATACATAGGCCTGTTGTGTTTTGAAATCCAAAAGGACTCACTCCACTCTGCTCAGACGCATTGTGAGCACCATTGGATCCCCCACATACAATTTGACAAAATTTCTGTCTTCATACCTACAAACTAATATTGAGCTCACCGCACACTACATTAGGGACTCAGCCCACTTCATAGGAAAAAAACCCAGTAATTTCAAACTCAACACCAATAACAAACTGATCAGCTTCGATGGTAGTGCCTCTATTTATCAAGGTCCCTCTAGCAGACACCATCGTATTCATCCACTGTTTCAACATTACCTGCCTACAAACTACTTCCAGTAGGACAATGAATTATCTGAACAAAAAGATGGAATAGCCATGGGAAGCCTTCTCAGCCCAGTCATAGCAATTAACTCAATTAACAGAAAGTAACACAATTAACAGAAAATCTATGTACATTGAAAGTTACGTAAATAAAAACTCCAACAATCACTCAGGTTAAAAAAGAAGCATGATTAAAGCCCTGAGAGGGCATGCAAACAGAATCTGCAAACCCCACCTCCTTCAAGGTGAAATGAACCACCTAAACAGGGCTCTACATGCCAATGGATACACTATTACAGACATCAGAAGAGCTCCAAGACCAAAAACAAGCCACAAAAGTAAAGACAAAGATCCACCTAGAGGAAAAGCATTCTTACCATACATCAAGGGAACCACTGACTGCATAGGGAAACTGATGAAGAAACAACCTCCAAACAATCTAAAGACCCACCAAGGAAATTCAACAAAAGATAAGAAGGATCCTCTAACCACTGCAAGAGTCTACCGTATACCATGCAGCTGTGGATAAGTCTACATAGGGACCACCAAACATGAATCAAAGAGGATGAAAGGCACTGCAGACTAATATAACCAGAGAGGTCAGCAATAGGATAAACCAACCTGGACACAGAATATAATCTGAAAACACAGAAATGCTGGATCACTTTGACAACCATCATGTCAGACTACACAGAGAAGGCATTGAAATCCACAAGCATATGGACAATTTCAGCAGAAAGGAAGAAACCATGAAAATGAACAATATCTGGTTACCGGTATTAAAAACCATCAGAATCAAGGCAGTAAATAAATAACACTACTCATAAACAGGGGAACTCCAGACAGTAAACAATCAAGTGGCAGTTAACACCTCCCAAACAAAGGAAGTCCCCAGGCAGCAACAGTCAGGCTTTGCAGCTGCAAGGCTGCTCAATGCTAAAGCTGGCTAATTGTAACATTAATATTTGCTTCAAACAGACAAGAGTTCTTTGTTTAACCCTTGACATTCCACTTGCCTCATTCCCATAGACCTCTGAACAAACCTCTGAGGATGTCTGCCATAGATAGATTCAGGCGAAACGTTAGGAGAGAATGCTACTGGAACATGGCCATACAGCCCGAAAAACTCACAGCAACCCAGTGATTCTAGCCATGAAAACTTTCAACAACACATCTATATATAGTGTTCACAAAACATTAAGAGAGAGAGAGAGGTCTCTTTGAGAGAATGTTTTACAAATGTGGAACTGTAAAAGAAAAGTATTTCTCTCCATCATCTCACAACACACTTCAAATGTTAGTGGCATCTAGAGAAAGATCTCTGAAGATTATCTGACTGTTCAAACAGATTGACGTGGAAGTAGGTAACCTAAATGCAAATCATGGAAGATTTTACAATACTTTACAAATCGTTTACACATTTTCAATTTCTATTTTTTTCTTTAGATATGGTCAATAAGCCAATAAAGCATTTAAAATTCAAGGGAAACATAAACGTCATGTCTAGGGCTAGTTTAATTCTAGTACCTGTATTTTGTACTAATTGCAATTTCTAGTAAAGTCAATGTGGCTGTTCGGCATAGAAATTGTTAGGGATAAATAACTGATGATGTACTATCTCGACCTTGAGAGGTATTAATTGGTATGCCTACCAGCCACAGTTCGCAAATGATTCTAAAAGTTATTGGCACTATCTTAGTTTGTAATGACAAGAGTTCCTAAGAAATGAACTTAAACCTCACCAATTTTACCCTTTTAACCAGTTGCCAACAATAACTCATCCTATCAGTTTACGCAGTCCAGCGTGTCTAAACACCAATTTAGACATGTCTACCCCATCTGAATCAGACATAAATCACAGAATCTTTGATGTGGAAGGGACCACAGCGGCTGTCCAATCTAATCCCTTGCTATGAAGTAAAACACTGAAAGTACCCCCTGAAATATGCCTCTCTAAACTCTGTTTAAGGCCCCCACAAAATGGAGAACCACCTATTTCACTGGAAGATCTTTTCTTGTAATCTGGTTCATCTTTGTCTCTGGAGCAGCAGGGAAAAAAGGCTTTTAGATGACATTCCTCATGTCACCTCTTGTTTATCTGTTTTCTAAGCTAAACATGCCCAGTTTTGGAGGCAATTCTGATGGAGTTGAGTGACATCTGTAGACGGTCCACATCTCACAGGCATAAATAAGGTTGGGAAGACAATAGCTTTATAAACAAGCATCTTGGTATCCATGTCCCGATCTTCACACTCTGTTTCATTTGAAAAAAATGCTGCACTCGTAGAGCTCAGAGGGTGTTGTATTTCAGTGTCGATGTTAACTTTTGTGGAGAGGTGGCTGCTAAGGTAGCAGAAATGGTCAAATTTTCTAATATTCCACAATTAAGCTGTATTTCTGGCATTTCAGAGGGATTGGTTGGTGCCTGCTGATAGAACACTTTGGTTTTCTCTAAGTTCAGTGAGGGGCTGAGCTTTTCGTATGCTTCTGCAAAAGTGTTTAGAGTAGCTTATAGGTCTTCATCTTAATGAGCACTGACTACATTATCATTGGCATATTGGAGTTTTATAACAGACATTGTTATAGACAGATACCAACTGTGCTACTAAGAAAACAATCCATGCTAGTGCAAAAACTGCAGTTCAAAGAAGGATCAGAGAATTCAAGAACAACAAAGGCTCAAGAAATCCAACACTTAGCAGATATCCATGATGCACGGAGATTCTTTAAAGCCACAAAGGTGATCTATGACCCAACAAATCATGGCATACAACCTCTATGTACATCAGATGGAACAAAACTTCTGAAGGATAAAAAATCAATTGCACTACGTTGGAAAGAGCACTACCATAACCTCCTTAACTGCAGCTCCGACGTGACGGAAGAGGTTATTTCACAATTCTCGCAACAACAAACTAGGGATTATCTTGCAGCACTGACTAGTTTGGAGGAAGTCAGCAAAGCCATCAGCCAATTAAAAAATAACAAAGCCAGCAGACCTGATAGGATCCCTGTTGAAATGTTTAAAGAGGGTGGATCTGAGCTGACACAACTTCACCAGCTCATTGAAAAATCATTGATGACCGAAAAAATCCCAGCAGACTTCAAAGGCACCACCATCATCACCCTTTTCAAAAAGAGGGCTAGAACAGACTGTTAAAACTATTGAGGCATCTCCTTTCTAACCTCTATTTGGAAAATCCTCACAACAATTCTTGCTAACTGCCTTCTACCTATCTCAGAAGACATCCTCCTAGAATCCCAGAATGGCTTCCTCCTCTCCAGAGGAACAGTGGATATGATATTCACTGAACGACTGCTCCAAGAAAAATGCAGGGAACAAAATCAAACTCTGTACATGTCATTGATTGACCTTGCAGAGGCATTCAACCCAGTGAATTGCAGTGCTCTCTGGATCATTCCCCAAACAATTGGATGCCCTCCAAGTTGCCAAACTGGTTGCAGAATATAGCCCTGGAATATGATTGTTCTGTGACAAGTTAGTGAGAGCATATGGTTTCAAAGGATGTTATTTTGTTTCCCTGTCCCCTAATTACATACAACTGTTAGGAGTAGATGATTAGTGATTGTTAATAAGGATACAGTAAAACACAAATTACTTTTAATTGTATGTCTTGGCTTTCAACTAAGCCAGGTGATGTCATGGAAATGCTCAATAGTGCCTGCCTGAAGTTGTTTTCTAATACATTCAATTGTTAAGAAATATTTTATTTCTGCTACTTTTTCTACTATTTCATTGGAGTTGTGGAAATGAACGCTTCTGTATGAATGCTATTCTGTTTTATGGTTTGTAAAGTTGCCTGGAGAGTTTTTTTTTTAAAAAAGGTGGAATAAATGTTCATCAATGTATGAATAAAATAACTCAACCGAAAAACTCACAGCAACCCAAAATAATGAATGAATGATCTGTTTTCATTGACAACATTGTATCTATAAAAGTGTATCTTCATTGGTATAACAACAGTTTGAAAGAACTGCTGATTTCAGCAGCACTGTAGTGATCATGAAATAACAGGTGAATATACTTTCAGTATATAAAAGAAATTCTGATGATTCTTTATTTTAAAGAAGCTCTCAAATTTTCATCTTGCACTAATCACAATTGTAAATGTGAAGGTGGTTTGGTAGATCTTAGAATTCTGCTGTTATGAATTGCAAATATCCAAACAATTTTGACTGTTATGAATCCAAATCCCTTTAAGAGTACACAAATTCAGATGGCAGCAGCATCAACAAAAATAATTTCTCTCAGGGCCCTTCTACACTATATTGCAGCGAGAAGCCGACTTGATGCCACAGTGGCCACAAAACACACAGTGCGACTGCGAGCTGCAACATGAATAAAGGGTGATACAGCGCTTTAAAAAATCCCAAGAAAGTTAGAGTTCTGTAAAAAAAATGTGCTGCAGTAGTGGTCACTGTATCCCAGATCCCTGGAAAAATTGGCTCCACAAAATACAGAGCGCATTGTAGACTCCTGCTACTGTTGAAGAAGAATAAAAGATCCCTTGGGGTGATAATATTAACATTATTATTAAAAAAATACAGAATGTTATTTGAGAAGAGAATCACATCTGTAGTATGAAAATGATATGACCATACAAAACTATTGAAAATTTAAGTATTTTTAAATATAAATAGGAAGAGGATTGTGGTTTCTAAAGAATACATATCTTATTTGAATTCACAGAGAATACAGAGAGCGAAGTAAAACTTCAAACTTAATCTGATGACAAATAAATTTCTAGAAGATTTGCTCTTACCATTCAACATTAGAAGATTGTCAGTTCCTGGATATGGATAATTCAAACGCCCTAAGACCAAAAATATATGAGAGAGTTAGCTCTTAGATTTAAGAAATAAAAGAAGAAGAAAGTACAAAAATATCTTATAACTCTATTTTAATCAGGTAATATGTTACTCCATTAGTCAACACCATCCTTTATCCAACTTAAAGTTGAAAGAAAGGGCTTCTTAACAGCAGTTCTCTGGTCATAAGATCCACAATGTGATTTGGGATCAGCTCCAAGGGGATAAAGGTCTTCTTTGTTTCATGAAATCCAGAAAAACAGCTGATTAATTCAACTCTTCCTTTTTCATTCTCACTTTGAAGACGGCTACCTAAATGGTTAACCCCTTCACTGTAGAAACAGCAAATGACTAAATTTCAAAACAAACTGTTGAAGCTAAGTTCAAAAATTCAGCAGCATTTGGCTTGAAGTACATACAATTTTATTTTAATAAAAAGATTTAAATAATTTTAATGCAAATGGAAGTTCTATACAGGCATGCCTCAGTCAATAACGCCTCTGAGAAAGAAGCTCTTCTTGCAAAGGTTTTCTATGCTTGCCCAGTTCCCTTTTCTTCCTTGTCTAGATAGGCAGTTGTTTGTTTGCTTGCTTGTTTTGCAACACTGACATTGGGAGAATGCTGAAGGAGGATTGGAGAAACAAACTTCCAATGCAGAAGTGAAGAAGCATGCTTGTTGCAAACAATAAAATATAATTTGGCCTTGAAAGAGTAGAATTCTTCTCTAGCTGATCTACTTGTAGTGGTGTGTGCCTCCCTATGGTAGGTACGGAAAACAGCAGCTGCTTTTGGAATTCCTTGCTGAGAATGCATGACCAACAAAACAGAAAGACAGTGGGAGAGCAGATAAGCCTCACCAATTACACCTAGCATGTTAAAGCAGAAAAGTCTAACAACCAAAAAATATAAATTGTTAGAGTAGTGGAGGCTGGTGAAGGAAAGAAAAATCTCTACATACATTTTGGAAGTAGCCTTGCAGTGGTCTCCAGAAATTTCTAAATGTTTTTGTTTACTCATGCAAGGCTTACCTGATCTCATTTCACATGTGCATATGTTCAGTTCTAAATAAAGGGTCTGCTGAAACTTGTTCAAGTGTCCAGGTTAAATAAGTAGTGACAAGGAGCACATCTATTATTATTTTTTATCTGGGATAGACTTATAACTGTTTCTTACTGGTATCTTTTAGTACAGGTGTACCTCAATCACGTACTATATTTCTGGGCTTTCCTTTCATTAACAGAAACGATGAGAAATAACATGGAAAGAACACCACAAAAAAAGAAGAGGAGTGCAACATGTTTCAACAAACTTTTTACTCAAACTATCATGCAAATATGAAATGAAACAACTAGATCAGGTAAGCCTAGCATTACTAATCAAAAGTATTCTGAAATCTTCTTGAGACTGCTTGAATGCTTCTCTCACAATGCATCCCAGGATGATTTTTTCTTTCTTTCAATAGTCACCACTTTACTTAAGACTTCCACTGTGGTAGCAAAACTTGCATCTTTGTGGTTTTTAACATGTCAGGGTAACTGTGAGGCAGGCTAATCTGTCATCTGCATTTTTTTCTGTTTACATTTCACATATGTTCAATCAGTGATTCTGGAGGCTGTTTGTTCACCTTGCCTGTTGTATATAAGCACACACAGTTACAGCATGATCACTTAAAGAAGAGTCCCATTCTTTACACTGTCACATTTTATTGCATTGTTTACTACATTCAAACTGTTGTAACACAATACAGAAAGTTTGTCTTTCTCCAGCCTTTTTTCATGATCCTCCCAATACCAATACTACTAGTAAAACAAACCCAAAAAACAAAACACAACTTCCCAACTAGTCAAAGAGAAGAAAAGGGTGGGAGTGGGAAGGGTTTGATTTCTATAAAAAGACTTTGTAAAAATTGTCTTTTTTTGCCAGAGGCTTTGTCAACTGAGGTATGCCTGTATTCTAGTTATCAAAGACAAGAAAATAGTAGAATAAAAAGGGAACAGGGAATTCCCATGATAATGTAGTATAGATATTTGGAATTGCACAGCAAATTGCTTTCCACTTTATTAAACCACATTATGTTCCTGGCAACATACAATTGCTGCTTTGTTTCAGTACAATGCGAAGACTGCCTTTTTACCTCAAACTGCTATAATCCTTGCCTGTGTAGTTACTAGGAACACACTCGAGCTTTAGAATAATAATTATGGCTTCAGGATTTTTCCCCAAAAAATTAAAGGGCATACAGAACTGAAGTTATTTCCGGAAAACAAAATATACATCTTAAAGCCATGGGAAAACAACTATTTACACCCACACTATTGAAAAAGAAAGCAAAAAGAATGAAAGAAACAGGAAACAATATTGTGTTTGTGAGAATATAACTTGACACCCTTTACTGGCTGGCTACATTGCATGACTTTAGAATGATAAGGGCAAAAGGCCTATCTACCATCCCAGCTGCTGCCCAATCTCCCCATGCCCATCAGCATGCAACTTAATGGCCAAGCCAACAGAATCCTTTGGACTAGACATGGGCAAACTTTGGCCCTCCAAGTGTTTTGGGCTTCAACTCCCAGAAATCCCAGTCAGCTTACCAGTTGTCAGGAATTGTGGGAGCTGAAGTTCAAAACACATTGAGGGCTGAAGCTTTGCCCATACCTTCTCTGTTCCCATGGAGTTGTGTATTAGTTATATGGGTGCATAGAGCACTCAGGTGAGGCTGTCTAATTGACACCCAGCACTTAACGTATGATGATACATCTGTATATACGTATATTTAATTTACATCCCGCCTTTTCTCCCAATGTGGGACCCAATAAAGTCTACCAAATATGTTAAACATAAATAATGGTTGACTGTGCCGTATTTGAAATGATTGGGATCAGAAATGTTTTGGATTTTCATCCCACAATCTGGACTAGAAAATCTAGAATAGGAACCCCTAGACGTGAGAAAACATCACCACCACTGCAGAAATCTCTTTAAGGGGTATATTAGGGATTGGTCAGTAATTATTTATTGTAGGATGGAACCCTGTGCTGCAAGGAGGCATTTATCACTCCTCTTACCCACTCAGCCATTCCTCCACTGTTTGTTATTATGAGCTAAGCAGGTATGTGTCCAGTATCCAGGTGGTGGCTTTTTTTCTCTGCAAGGATCCTGTCTACAATCCCCAGGATGCACAAACAAATATATCAATGACTTGCAGAAGCTGAGGTTACATCTACAGGATCTGCAGTCATCACAACCTTCAAATTAGCATTGGTCTGTATGATTTTATCTGCAAAGTTCTGTGCATATTCTTCATAGTAGGCAGAAATTGTGCTCACTGCCCTGGCCATTTCTTCCTTCTACAGACCAGCCAAGTTTTCAAGAGCCCTCAGAAATCCATCCACATCTATCAGTCTCATAGTGCAGACTATATCAGTCCACCACTCCTGTAGTCTGAATGGAAATACCACTTAGCTCTAAAAAGTTCCAATGAGGTCTCAAAACAAACACAAGTCATATTGTGTGGTACAGGGACTACAAAGAAGACTGAATACAGACTAGGTAGTAAGGGTTGCACTAGATATTATTTGGGACACTGTCATGGAAGACATGAAGTTCTAACTTGCTTCCAGCACAGAACACTTTTTAAAGGAGGCTGGATGGCCATCTGTTGGGAGGGTGTTCTTGCATGGCAAAGGATTGGACTGGATAGCCCTTGTGGTCTCTTCCAACTACATGATTTATGATTCTATGATTGAAGACAATGAAGTCTCAGGCAGAAGTCCACTGGAAAGCAGGCAGCAGCAAGATTTTTCTTCTCTTGGGATAGTGGAATTTTCCCCTAGTCTGCAGATTCTTTTTATAACCCCCTCTGCACTGCTGGGTTGATCTTTTACATCTGCTATGAGTTAAATAGGGTCCTGGCCACTGCCCTTCTTGCCATGCAAGAATATAAATTAGTAATACAGATACCTAAAAAAGAAATTTAAATACAAAAAAACTTGGCAAATATAATTTTATGGTTGTTCCATGGGAGACAAAACTCTCTGCCAGCCAAGGCCAATCCACTGACAGGCAATACTCCTCCCCAGGCCCATTAACTGCATCTGCAGTACCCAAACGCAATAACATAGGCCGGGTGGGAAGGAAATATGTCGAAGCACAAGAAACTCATTGTCAGATGGTTACTCTCCTCCAGCAAACCAAGGGAAAGAACTCTTTGTGAGTTCTACGGGGAGAAGTCCTGCCTTATGATTCCATAGTTCTTATTGGCCCAAGACCTGAATATCCAGTAGCTGGAAAAAACTGTAGATGGAAACCAGCCACAACCCTGACTTTCCCATTCCTCTCGCCCCATCTTCTTGTGCCAACAGAACATCCGGTGAGCAATAATCTTCAATTTGTATTTTAAGGTATCAAATTTAAGTAAAGACTCTCTACAGATTTCTTTGTTTCTTTTCTTTTACTGAAGCAACTCTTGAAATATGCCTTCTAAATTAATTCTATAATCAGATAGTGAGTCTTACAGCTTAGTGAATGAAATTCAGTTTCTTGAATTATGTGAACAACCCTCATAATTCATATTGATACAGATCACAAGGCAGCAATTTGACTACTCAGACTGTGTTCTATTTTAAATATTTTGATTTGATAACACCAGCATCAGTTCTAAAAGTGGTACCACATAAGGAGAAAGAAAAAAGAGAAATGCCACAATGCTATTGAGTCTGTAAATTTTGATGACTAGATGGACCCCAGTAATGACATCAGTTGAGAAAAAAATGCTCAATTATAGCAGAAAAATAGTAATTGAAAAGTTTAATTCACCATTAAAGATTTACTGTATAAAACCTATGTATCAAAAATGGGTTACTCCCAGACACTTTCTAACTTTGTAAGACAAACAGCCCATCTACTGTGATATTACTCAAACGATAATGTTTAGTCATGGTATTGGTATTACCTCACATATACTATCTTTCTCATAGTGATTTAAAAATGAAGATTTAAAGCCATAATATTTTTTATCAAAATTGTTAACAGATAGAAACTGGTAAGATAAGCAATCTTTTATTTCATAGCACCATCATTCTATTGAGCAACTTTGTTAAATTTGGCAAAATAATGGCAAGACTACAAAGCACCTTTTCTATAAAATAGATGCTATCCTTACTAGGTTTTAGCAGCACATTTTAAATACCCTGTTTTTAAGATACAAGCTCACTGGAACCTAATTACCTCGGAGTATTCCTTGCCTAAGAAATCTCTGTGAAATTCATAGAGTTCCCATAAGTCATAAGGCACATATACACTGACTACTATTGCTTAACTCATTGGTTAATAAATATCCTTATAAATTTATGTAATTAATCATATGCATAATCCAAATTATTCTTTGGAAGCCTGATTTTCAAACTATACTTCAACAGAGAGAAGTAGAACAATCCTATGTATGTTTACTCAAAAATATATTCTCCTGAGCTGAATGTGACACACTGGGCCCATCTACAATGACCATTTCATGCAGTTCCAGACAGGTATTGAAGAAATTGGTTTTGCAGTGCAGATGATTACACAGGAAATCTGGGAACTAGTTTGAGGGCTGGAAGGTAATTATACAAACCACAAAACACTGCTGGCATTAAGGGTTTCTTTCATGTGTTTTAATGAGAGCTCATTGTCTGCCTGTCACAGTTTGAAGTTAACTTCAAACTCCATTAAATGGTCAGTGTAGATGTGGCCTAAACTTTTAATGTATTAAAATCCTTAGTATTCAGGCTGTAATCCTATAAACATGTGGAAGCAGGTACCATCAAACCCAATATTACATATTGCCATATGAAGAACTGTAGGGCTTCTTGTAAACATCACATGAACAGTAAGCAAACTGTATCTCCAATATCAAACAGAACAGAGAAATCTTCAGCCTCTATGCAACAGAAGTTTTCTGGGAAATTTGAGGATGTTTGAAACTTGTCCAGTTGTGTTTAATGCACAGCATTACGTCAGATATTTTGTCTTTCATGTTGTGAATACAACTGAATATATTATAAACATTATCATGCTGACACACATATCACTTAATTATTGGAACTTACTTAATCCAGTTAAGAAGATTTTTAGATGTGCATTTTACAATTACTTAAGTATATTGGAGACACAGTGGTCTCCTATATGACAAATATGAACACATTCATTAATGGAGCCCATTAAAAAGAGGATAGAAGACAACTAATTGGAAAAAAAATACTGTTCTACCCATAAGTTGTAGTGAATTAAATTGTGCCCACAACTTTTACTGAAAAATTACCAGTTTGCCATTTTTGAACAAGCTAACTGGTCACTTAGTCTCAATTACTGTTTTAAAAAAACACATCTGAATTACTGGGCCTTTGACAATACATCTGAATTAATCATTTAACTCCAGAATTTTTTAGTATGAACATTTTTGGTGATGAGAACAGGGAGGGAAAAGGATACTCAAGCTAAAAATTCACTTTTTAAAATCTTTCCTTACAGAAAAAAATAGTGGTGGAGGATATCATTTCTGTCAATGATATATAAATGGGTCCTATCTAACTTTATGCATGTTAAACATATACCATTTCATATATGTGCATTTTCATGTTATTAAGACAACAACAATGCAGAGTGGACTTTGCCAGAGACTGAAAATTAACCACTGCAGGAACATACCTTTAAGAGGGTCATGCTCAGCTCTCATTATGTCAATGAGGGAATTTTCCAATGAATGCATATTCAGGCTGTCATACATTCTGTTTCGATCCTAAAGGAAAAGAGATTCTTAGCATTAGAAATACAATTGTTATACAAAAGGTGAAAGAGGCAGTTTTACAGATAACATACTGTCAGTAGTCTTTAGCTCTGCAATCAGCCAATTTAAAAACTTCTAAATGAATGACACTTCAACTATGAAAGATGGACATCTTTCAAAAACAAAGTGACATTTATATTTCTCAGAAGCACTATCATAAAGTATTTTTAAACTGTTCATATTCTGTTAGGATTAACAGAAGCAAAATGTGTCACTATTAGCACTTTCTTCCCAGACTGGGGCCTCATCTACATTGACCATTTATTGCAGTTCAAACTGCAGTAGCTAAATAACGAACTCCCACAAATGCATACAAAACGAAGCCCTTAATTTCATCTGTGGCTTGAGCAATCACCATCTGGGCCTCAAACATGTTCCAGAATTTCATATGCAATCATCAGTACATGAAGTGCACTTTCTTCAATACTGATTAGAAAACAATATTAAACATTCTGGGAAAATGGACAGCAACCTGAATGGCCCCCTCCCTACTGTCCTTCTGGCAGCAAGCTAAAATCTTTTTATTCAGACAGGCTTTGAAAGATGGTTTGTAAGATCAAGTCAGGGGGTGTTGTGGTTTTGAACATTGAATTTGTTTTAATGGTTTTTAACTGGGAATTTTAAAATAATGTTTATATTTACTCCTGTTTTAATGTTTGTATGTTTGTATATTTTACATTGCTATGCTGATGCTTTCACGTTAAGACATTTTGTGTCCTCTTCAGGGGAGATAAAGTGGGGTATAAATAAACAACAACAACAACAACAACTGAGAGGACAGTAGCTTGAAGGTCTAGGACATGGAGGAGATCAAATTTCTGAAAAGCTACTTACTTCTAGAACATTCCAACTGTGTCTCTGTTCAGGCACAAAAGTTCCATTTGTGTGACTCCAGAGACACAAAAAAGAATTTTACTTCTCCAGGCTATTTTTTGTTTAAAATTCTATGCCTTCATTGTTTTAATTAAAATAAAAATAAACTAAGTACATTTTTGGATTATTATGGATTAAAATCATTACAAGTATTCCAATAAAAGCAATTTTCTAATCTCTTTAACTTTCTGATGAAATATTAAACCAAATTAAGTTTGTCACTGCTATTTCAAAACTCCCAAACAAATATTGTAGGTTAAATCTTGAGTTATTTAATAACCTTTTGTGATAATTATTCTTTGAAAACACAGAAATAATGTTCCATGTCTTTTAGTTTTGTGCACTAAATATAAACCAAATAAATGTGCTGTAACACATCATTCCCTTCTGGGAACCTAAATCGAATGGGTTTCAATATTTCCACAACGAAAAAATAATATTTTAAATTTTCTATTATGTAAGGGAAAATCTTAACCAAAACCTATTCCCAGGCTCACCACAAACTTCTAAGGACCAGTAAAACAATAAAGAGCTTCAAAGAAAAAGGGCTATTAAAAATACTCCAACATTGGTGACATAGTACAGGCAGTCCCTGAGTTACAAACATCCGACTTACAAACAACTCACAGTTACAAACAGACGTGAGACAACAGGAAGCAAGAGAAATCTACCCTTAGGAAGGGCAGTTCACTCCTGGAAGAGTTGTCATGGGGGAAAGGTGGCTCAGCTGAAGTTTTATAGTTTTATCACTAATCCTTGTTTCCACAACAAGCCAAATTTTTCAAAATCCAGTTATCACAGAGGCACGAGGTGAAATCTTCTGAACAGGAACACAGACAGTAAAACAAACACTACAGGGGAGTTAACTCTTCCCTATGCTATCCGAAGTGTGTGTGTGTGTATGGAGTTACTAGCCGTCCCCTGCCACGTGTTGCTGTGGCCCACATGGGGGTTCTGTGTTGGAGGTTTGGTCCAATTCTATCGTTGGTGGGGTTCAGAATGCTCTGTGATTGTAGGTGAACTATAAATCCCAGCAATTACAACTCCCAAATGTCAAATTCTCTTTTCCCCAAACTCCACCAGTGATCACATTTGGGCATATTGAATATTCCTGTAGAGTTTGGTCCAGATGCGTCATTGTTTGAGTCCACAATGATCTCTGGATGTAGGTGTACTAGAACTCCAAAACCAAAGGACACTGCCCACCAAACCCTTCCCGTATTTTCTGTTGGTCGTGGGAGAACTGTGTGCTAAGTTTGTTTCAATTCCATCATTGGTGGGGTTCAGAATGCTCTGATTGTAGGTGAACTATAAATCCCAGCAACTACAACTCCCAAATGACAAAATCAATTTTTTTGAGTGAAGGACATACATTGGGTTGTTAGGTGTCTTGTGTCCAAATTTGGTGTCAATTAGTCCAGTGGTTTTTGATTTCTGTTAATCCCACAAACGAACATTACATTTTATTTATATAGATACTTAAAAATATACCTGTTTTGACTTACAAACAAATTCCACTTAAGGACAAACCTACAGAACCTATCCTGTTTTTAACTTGGGGCCTGTCTGTACTTATTATCATTGTATTTTCCTGCATGGCAGGGGGTTGGACAGAATGGTCCTCGTGGTCTCTTTCAACTGTTATGATTTTATCATCTTTGGTTAATACAGCAGCTGAGTCCCTTCCTAGAATCCAGAATATCTAAAGATGGTAGTGTGCATACTGGTCAAGGTTGGGATTCTGCACTACACTGCACATCGGGCTACTTCTGTAGCAAGTTTGGAAATTTCAATTAGTTCAAAACATGGCAGCCAGACTGGTTATGGGTTTATTCAGGAGGGAGTACATTACTCCTATGCTAAAATCACCCCACTTGTTACCAATTAGTTTTCAGAAAAAGTGTAAAGTTTTAGTAATTACATGTAAAGCCCTACATGGTTTGGGTACAGGTTATCTACAAGATCACCTTGTCCTGTATAATTTGCCCTGTACACCTAAGTCCACTGAAGGGTGTTAACTTCAACAGGCTTGAACCCAGCAGGCCAGAGGGCCTTTCCACTGGCCACTCCCAGACTGTGATATAACCTTCTGGAAGAGATTTGGTAGGTGAATGCACCATCTGAATTTATAACAGCAGTAAAAACCTGTCTCTGCCAGTAGGTCTACCCAGTCAATTTTGAACCATTGATTTTAAATTTACATTTTATTAATATTGGTGTTTTAATCCCTAATTTTTGAAAATGTGCATTTTCAGACTCCACAAAGAAGAAACAAATTTATGTGGAGATTACTGGACCAAATATCTCGCCTCTATACTGTTCACAATGATTTAACAAACAAAACATTATTTTCCCACCAAAAGAGAAACATACTTATTGTAACCATATTTATGTCACTCGAGGGTAGTTCTTGGTTTTTCTTGCATTGTCTACAGCACAAAAGACCAGTAACATAGTGTAATCTAATGAAAGGCAACAATGACTCCTATGATATTCACATGAAGGAAATGAATGAGACTGAAAGTTGGCAATTATTCTCTTTAAATAAGAACCTAAGGACATAACATGATTACAGCAATTTGATACTATTGCAAATGTCATGGATCAGAATTCCTTGGTAGAGAGCTCTAGTATCACCACCAACACCATGCTACTGAATTACTGATTAGTGAAAAATAAATAGCTGATCATATCCCCCTGAGATACAGGAGTTATACTATACTTCTATGTTTTGTTAATGTGATGTCATTATTTCTTAAAATACAATTTGAGATTTTACATGCAAGTATTGAGTCATTCAAATGCAAGGTAATCCTAAACAGATTTTGACCTGTATTCTGCTTGACAATTCTAAATAGAACAGAGCAATTTAAACAACTAGTAAATGGTGAATCAAAACACAGATATAACTAAAGACTTCAGTCTGTCTACTTTAATCAGACAAAAATAGAATTTAGGCCTCTGTATGTTTTGCCCTAGGAGACAAGAGAAATCTCTGTAACAGCTAACCTTGTGTAGCCAGAGCAACCTATGATCCATCACTGTATCAATTGGTAAGTGTAACATGACACCAGACATCCACCAGTGATTAACTCTTTACAGTGTTAATCCTGGGACCAGACCTCATGCTCCCTCCCATCCCACAAACTAGCAATTGAGCTGTTGTATCTTTCAGAGTTTGGTTTTGTCCACCACAATATTCAATGCATAAGTGATATGGCTGGAAAGGTTGACTGGAGATTTGGAGTATCAATAAGCAGGTGACACCAAGCTCTATTACTCTTTTTCATCTCAATTCTTTATTGTCTTTATCCTAAACCAGTGTCTTTATCCTAAACCAGTGTCTGTTGTCAGTATTGGGGTGGGTCAGGACAAACAAGCTGAAGTTTTACCAGAGAAGACAGGAGAGATTCTGGTCAGTCAGAAGGCAGATCAGGAAATAGGAATTCTGCTGTTATAGATGGGAATACACTCCTCCTGAAGGTGAAGCTTCGCAGCTTGGATGTATTCATGCACCCTGCTTTGAACATGAAGTGCCCAGGACTGTTTTTGCACATTTTAAGAATTACATGTCGATTGTACCCATTCCTTGAAAGCTTATATACATTCCATTTCAACTACTGTAGTGCATTTTAAATGAGGTTGCCTTTGAAGAAAGAGTTTATGGAAACATTGGCTAGTACAAAGAGCTACAGCTCTTAATCCAAGATGGGCTAGAGAGACCATACTACTATTCTGTTACAACAGCTCCTCTGGGTGTCAGTTTGTTCCCAGGAACAAGAAAAAAATAACTATATGTCTCTAGTTCAGGTTATCTGATAGATTTCATCTCCCTGAGTATACCCAGGTCTTGATATCATCAGGAGAGGCTCATCTTTCAGTCCCACCACCATAATAAGCAGGATTGATGGTGAGTTAAGATAATAACTTCTTATACAGTCATTGCCCTTAAGACTCCAGAACTTCCTTCTAAAATAGCCTCTTTTTGTGACAAACAAAAATCTTTTTAAAATTTTATTTTGGCAACTGTTAAATATAGAAAGTGTTTAAAGACAAGGCTAAGAACTGCTTTCTAATTGCATTGTATTGTGTGTAAATCTAAACTGTTTTAATATTATCATTACCTGTTCACTTTTTTATGTTTTCAGAGGAACTATTTTTTAAATATACACTGCATTGAATCCCAACTGTCATCATCTCCTAATAAGTATGAAAACTCAGATTTTATATTCTTAATTGCATTACCTCCAAAATGAGGTATTAAAATTGCATTGTATATTCTTTCATGTTCTCAGTTAATTGTTTCAGATATATCAAAATATATTATCAACCTTTCCACCTACTTTAACTCTTGAGAAAGAATCTCAACCTTATTCTCCAAACTAAATACTAATACTGCAGCTTTATCCTGATTAAGTTTATACTCAAGAGATTTCAATGGGTTCTAAAAGTAAGGCTACTATCTCCACAACAGGAATGTGCAGCTTATCACTAAAGCTGACTTCTCTGATGGAGGAACCAAAAGTAGCCAATGTTAATACTAAAATTTAAAAACCCGGCAGAAACAAAAAAGTGATAAGTTTATCAAGTTAGGCAGGATGTGGAAAGTGAGGACAGATAGGACTCCCCCTCCCACCCCCAATCTTTCCCACTCTAGGTCACTCAGCTGAAACTGACAGATGAAAGAAATATTCTTCTCAGAATGCATAATGTATATAATAATCCCGCATAATATGTTGAGATGGCAAGAGGCTTTTAAGGTTGTAAGATGCAATTAATGCAGCATATGTTTTTATCAACGTCTATCATTAAAGTCATCATTATTATTTCAGTGGATTTTAACTCTGTATCGTGTATGTCTTTTAACAGTGTTTTTTCTCTCATTTTAATGATACTGTATCCCGCCTTGAGCCACAGGAAGGAAACAGAGCTAGATCTGGAGATATGTGCATAGAGCAATTAACTACAGAGACGAAAACACAGTGCAGTGTATGTGTATAAGTTTACTTCTCCAAAGGCAATAGCAACTCATGGACTATGTTTTTGTGGGAATTCTACATATTGACCATTAGGGTACTTGTACAGGGCAAAAGGGGTAATTCTGTGGTCTTCCAGATAGTGTTACACTACATCTCCTTTCAACCTTCATTACGGATGATGCTAGCTGTGTCCAACATAGATTATATGTACCCAATATCATCTAGAGAGCTATAAATTCCCTTTTTCTGGTGTAGGCATCAAAACCAGTTAATAGATCCAAATCAACCATCTTCTGCCACTTTTAGCAAAAGGTCATCATGAAGTTTGATCACAGTTTCCTTCCATCAAATTTTATTTAACTATAAGGAACATCTGGTTTTCTTATCCAAAGGCAACATCAACTCCCAGACTGTGTTTGTGTGAACATTGTTCATACTGAACATAAGGGAGAACAGGAGAGAAATGTATGGTTAATCACTTGAACATGGGACTAATAAGGCGAGTGATCCTCTGTTAAGTCTTTTGTGCATTCTGATTTAATTAAGCATCCATTAACTAAAGGTTGACTTTTTTTGTATTCCTGCAAAGCAAATGTAGATACATAGTTGAATAGCTTTCTTTGTGAGTGGACTATAAAAGCCACTTCACTGTACATTTGGAAAATCTTATGGGGGATGGTCCCAGGGGAGTATACATTTGGAGTTCAGAATACACAGGAGGCAGCTGAGCACATGTGATGCTAGGATTGTAGGGTGGGATAAAAGTTGTAACTTGCAATACTTGATTCTGCAATTTAAGTAGAGTTTGCTGAAGAGTTGGTTGGCCTCTAATAACTTCTTTAATACTGACTTGTGCAAGATAAACTGAAGAAGCATAATATTCTAGTCTGCCATATGGCATTGGCAACAACATCCAGAGTACATGAATTCTTGTTGTTCAGTTTAAGCTCTACAACAATGAGGGCATCAACCCATAAACGTTTAAGGAATTCTAATATCTAAGATCTGGTTGATACTTTTTGTCAAAACTACTGAGGAAAGGTAGACCACTGACATCAATGGAACAGTGGTAACTTAGCCACACTGCACAAAAGCTAGTCTTGTTGCAAATACATACAGTCCACTCATGCATAATGTGAGGTAATATAACATGGGTTCAATCATATGCAATGACTTCCGGTGGAAGCAAACCAGAGTAAAGATCCCTCCATCATTATTCCATGCTATGCTTACAACAAAAGCTCAAGTCTTCATTCACTTCAGGGTTCCAGGTTATACAATGGAACAGACCGCTTGCATATGACACAATCACACTGTGTTGAAGAAAGAAGCCCAACGAAGTGTTAACAATTGGAAACATGGTAAGGGCATTCCCTTCTAACTGGATTTCTACATGATCCCTAATGTACCAAACTTCCAATGAGCTTTAAAACCAATTATTGCTCTAAGTAACTGAAATATTTATTCACCACTTTAAACACATTTCCAATTTGATTACCCTCAACAAAATTTTGACAAAGATTTCAAAGAAGTCAATTTGAACACAGACATGAAAATAAAGAAGGCAGGTGGGTCAGAATTTTAATCCTTTCCTTTGTTGCTTATTTACTGCAATTGGATCAGTGTAGCCATTTTGCTTTCCACGGGTTTTGCATGAGTAGACTTGGGTAAATCCAGAAAGAAGCAGTGCCATGAAAGAATTGCAGAAGACAAATGGGAGGACACTTAATTATCTTAAACACACTTCTCCAGCAAAAACAGACCTCCTTCAAAACTACATATAACCGAACCCTTATAGGCATGCTATTTAGAGAAGCAATCGAGCATCTGAACTTATACCTCAATTATTAATTAAACTGGATGTTTCTTCACCTCTTCATAATTTTCCATTTTAAAATCTCTATTCTTATGTTTTTACTGTATTCATCAGACAAGAGAGCATTAGAGCTCCAAACTTCTCATTTACATTATTCTCCAGTTAAGACACTGTTTCAATTTTCTTAAAAAAAAAGCTCAGGGAAAGAAGCAAATAGGTTCCTTAAATGGCAGGGCATTACAGGGTGGAAAGAAGTCAGCTAGGTACATATTTTCTATTTTTTTTCTTCTTAAAATACAAGTTTCCTATGCAAAGTGTTCTGTATCTAAATATTGAAACAATTTTCAAAACTATATAAAATGGTGCAAGTACAAAGGTTTATTATCAATGATGTCACAGACAGGTGACTACCGTATCTGCGAACCTACCCTACACAATTCAAGTACAACAGTATCATAGAAAGAGCAAAATCCACATTTTCCTAGTAGAAAAGTAGTGTGCTCAGAAATTGATAGGAAAATGCCCAAGAGTTTAAAACTGTTCACATAATCACCTCTCAGGAAATATTGTAAAAATATACTGCTACTATGCAGCAACACTGAACCAGAGATCTTAAGTAAAATCACTTACGAATTTCTGGTTCATTCGCTGACTAATTAGAAAAAAATTCTAAAGGAGCTTTAAAGTAAAAGTAATTGCAGTTGGTAAACACACTTCAAGTAATTTTAGTTATTTCCAATAGAGAAAAAAATTGACTTACATACTATTTATAATTTTTAAGTTCAAAACATCAAAAAGACTATGTAATTACATACCATTCTTACCTGTAAGGGTAAGAGTGTATTACTGTTGTTGTCTGTTCGGAAAACATTATCTTCAATCCAAGATTTTGGAGTCAGTGATGGAGCAGAACGAGTAAATTTAGGGGGAGCTATGACGTTACCGGAAAACGGCTTCTTTAAGGGAGAGATCTGGTTCACAGTTCCCGGAATTCCCATATTTCCAGTTCTACGATGGTCTCTACCATGCATGCTTCCCCAGGACATATTTCCTGTGCTCCATCCACTACTTTGATGGTTGCTCCACGGTGATGGTTTCAGTAGAGGCTAGAATAGGCATAAGAGAAAGATAGTGTTTAAAATATATCTGACGTAATACAGTCTAATACTTTATATAGCTGAATTTAGTAAAAGTTACTTCCAAGTCAGGGGGTATGTCTGGCAGTCAAAGGTAAATGACCTTTTGGCAATGTACTATTAGCACCAATTAACTCCCCAAATCCTGTGTAGTTGTGGTATAAAGTGGCACATGCTTTAATGTATGCAGACACTAGAAATTGCTACAAGAAACAGAATTCAAATTATAGTATGGATTTAGGAGTAGATCATCTAGGAGAGCTAGTATAGTGTTTTTCTTTGAGTGTTGGCCAAAAAGTTCAAATCCCTGTTTGGCCATGGAAATCCACTAGGCAAACACACTTGCTCAATCTGAGAGAAAGTCAAGAGCAAACCTCTTCTGAACGAATTCTGCTACAAAAACTTCTTGATAGGTTTGCTCTGATAGCTTCACCATAAATCAGAAATGACTTGAAGGCACACAAGACACAGGACATCAATTTTTAAAAGCTGTTCAGATGCACAATGCCAATGGTTGCCCTTTTTATAGAGTTCCACAGTGATGAGAAGAGGAAGCAGAGAGACTCTAACAACTCTAAACAGTCCAGGCCCTTTCACACAGCCATATAACCCAGAATATCAAGGCAGAGAATCCCAGAATATCTGCTTTGAACTGGGTTATCTGAGTCCACACTGCCATATATTCCAGTTCAAAGCGGACAATGTGGGGTTTTATTCAGCTGTGAGGAAGGGGCCCCAGTTCTATTTGCTGCCTCCTATTATTGCCACTGTGCCTGTGGCCATTTCCCTCTTGCTGTCATCATATATGCTTGCACAGTGCAACAAAAGGATTATGGACAGTGTTTCAGCGATCTCATACAAATGTCATCAAAGATGGCCTGACTCAGAGTCACAAACCAATTATTTCCTTGTATGATCTGATTAACTAAATGTAGTTTCAACCAGAAGTAGTGGAAAGAGTCTGAAATTATTCCATCCAGTTTAAGAAAATAAAATAAATACCAACCTTGTATTTTTTTAAAGATAATATCAAGGTTAACTGTAATATTTTCAATATTCTGTAGCATTACCCTTGCACACTCACTGGCTATTAAATTAAGAAATGTTTCTGATTCCCAAGCTAGAATATTTGGTTACAACAGTAATGCAGAATATCACTATTCCTACATCTATAAAGAAATCCATTACATTTAAATCTGTAACCTAATAAATAAAATCTAGCATTCTGATACATAAAGTGATCTGAGTATTCGACTAGGCCACTGGGAGACTAGGGTTCAACTTCTCGCTTGGCCATGGAATCCCATTGGGTGGCTTTATGATATTGGTAATAATGTTATTAAATTCATTAAAATTAAGCTTTTCTATAGAAAGGAAAGAAATGAAATGGAGAGAAATGATCTCTCTGTTAAGTATAATCAGTATCATTGCCAACGTACACTTCAATTCTATGAATTCTTAGCTGGAGGACGGAGAATCAAAAGCTACTGTATTGAGTAGTGCAAACTTACTGAATACAGTGAAGCTTTCTGTTTTATTGTACTCAGAAAAAAAAAAATATGACTGCATTGTTAGACCGCAAATTAATACCCACTCACCAGACAGTAAATTTTATTCAATGCGACTTAATTTTATAAAATACATATACGTGACATTTCAAGGAAATATATATAAAAGCTAAGTCATCAGGGTTGAGAAGAAAATGCAGAAAACAGATTGAGAATACAGACTGGGCCAGGTGTAGCCAGAAGGCCTCAAAGCCCTTTCCCCCCCACTTGTCAATGTTCTTATACGTTTTTATTTAAAAAAACAACGATGATGCAGTTTGCTAGAAAAAAAGCAGTGAGAAATCATAATCAATGGGGAAAAGAACTATAAATTGATGTATACATGTAGAATTCTTAGTCAAAAAAATCAACGCAAAAAAAACTGGGCTTACATATTCATGGGTCACTGTGAGTACTGCACCTTAACTAATCAACAAAGTAACCATCCCCTTCTTTGGGTAGAGTGGCAAAAGGAAAGACTTAGTCTGTCCCAGGAGCTCTTTAAAAAGCACCCCTCTACTCTTTTTGCTGTGGTGCCTTTTCTGGTCTTTTTGAATGCTTGCAAGGGAAAATAGTGATAATCATCAAAGGTGATGGTGCTGTCTCCTCTCTGAAGACTTTTCCATGAGTCATATTAGAATCCATAATTTTAGCCTCAAAACATGCCCTCAACTTATTACATGAAGTCAATTTATACATGAGCATATACAATAAATTCACTGCAGTCAATGTGATAATGACATTGCCAGTTTACCTTTTTTTCAGCCCAATAGCTGTCATATCATATTGAAATCAATTTAAATGCTTTTTAGTCTTCTTTTATATATAAATGTAAGAGTATCAAATCATATATGTCGTGGATTATATCTGTTAGTAATAACTTGGACATTTTATTGAATGTAATTAATATTAAATGAAGTAACAAATTTCAGCAAATTAATAATCTATTTAACATTGATGAAGCTACTTTTGATGAATTATGAAACTAAAACCCTTTAAAAGAAACAGAAGAAAGTACAGTGCTTATGCACTTCCCAATTTGAAAAGTGTTTCCTAAACCCAAGGCAGCTACCTTATATGCAAAGTTATGGCTTTGAGTATCCTACTTTTGCCTTTTAAGATATCTTTCTGTATTATCACACTACAATAAGGAAGACATTTCCACTTGTCCAGTCACAAAATCCAGCTCAGACATGGCAAGTATGTCAGATTTAAGATATTCTATACACAAAGGTAAGAAGCAGTGAAACTTAAAATGTTAGCATAAATATGTATTTCCCCCGAATCAGGGGGGAAAAGAAAATGTAAGCTCAATGAGAGGATGTTTAAGGAATGTATTAAACAAGTAGAGTACTATTGCTGTGAAAGCTCTTTACTTTGTTGCGAAATAAAGGATTTGTCCTCTGATATAATGATTGCCTCCTTCTCCCTACACTGAGGCAACGTTTGTGCTGACACGTCACTTACACTGTCACAAGGGTTACCTTGTGAGCACACAGAACAGGGAGGTCTGATATGGAGGAAAGGGTGGCTCTTGTCCACCTCCAACTCACAGAAACCTGGTCTGTCTTGAGCCAAAACACCCATGGGAATCTCCCCATGCAAGTCAGTCGGCAAAATATCATTGTGAGCCAGGATTACATAGCAGCTTCATTCTGGACTAGAACAGGGTTCGAATCCCTGATCAGCTATGGAAACCTACTGGGTGACCTTGAGAAAGCCACAGCCGTTTACCCAAAAAGGAAGGCAATGATAAAGTCCCTCTGAATAAATCTTGCCAAGAAAACCCCGTGCTAGGTTAGAGCCGATCTCAAGCCAGGGACACCACCGAAGAATGAATATCACTGCTGTATACGAAAGTTCAATTAATCAACCATGTATATATACATCTACCTTAGCAGACTGATAGCCCAATTTGTTTACTATGCTAAAACTCTCCTTACATATCAAACCTTGCTCACTGCTGTCAATACAGAAGGAACACTTTCCCCCTTCTGCAGAAAAAGCCCCTTGGAATTTATCCAACAGAGGACATTGGCAACTCCTCTTCTCCACAAAGCAGAGAAACTTATCAGACCGAAATGGACAACCTCAGGGCCATTTTTCTTCCGCTCACACTCTCCAGGAGCTGGTCAGACTGCCAAAAATGCCAGCAAAAGCAGACGTGTCCAAAAATCCACTCCAGGTTTTGAACAAAATGTCAAGCAGTACAGGGAGGCTCTGTAACCTATTTAAAAGATGAATTGCTACTTCTGGAGACTTCCCAGGGACGCAAATCATCTTTTTGTAATTAGAGAAAAGGATGTTTTGGGAGTCTAGGGCAGGGAAAAACACTTCAGGGTCAAATACTGCCTTGCTTTACCCACTGAGTGTTGGACTAGGACTCCTGGGATATCAGGATTCAAATCCCAGCTTAGTTAAGAAAACCCAGTAGGTGACCTTGGACAAGTTACTCTCCTCAGTCCCAAAGGAAGGCAACCCCCCTCTGAGCAAACCTTGTGAAGAAAACCCCAGGTTAGGTTCTCCTTAGGGTCTCACGTGACTTGAAGGCAAATAACAATAACATAATCATGGAAGAGACCTCACAGGCCATCTAGTACAACCCCCTACCATGCAGGAAAAGCTCAAAACATCCCTAACAATGGCCTCTGTTTAAAAGCCTCCAAAAAAAAAAAGTTTCCATCACTCTCTGAGGACCTTTCCACACATCCGTATAAAATTCACATTGAACTGGATTATGTCGCAGTGTGGGCTTAGGGCCCTTTCACACAGCCATACAACCCAAAATATCAAGGTAGAAAATCCCACAATATCTGCTTTGAACTGAGTTATCTGAGTCCACACTACCATATAATCCAGTTCAAAACAGATATTATGGATTATCTGCTTTGATATTTTGGGTTATATGGCTATGTGGAAGGACTTGGGTACAGAGAGTTCCACTGCTGAACAGGTCTTACAATCAGGAAGTTCTTCTTAATGTTAAGAGGGAATCTCCTTTCCTGGAATTTGAACCCATTGCTCCTTGTGGGTGGCAGCAAGCAAGCCTACCCACTCTTCCTTATGACAACCTTTCAGATATTGAAACAGAAGCCCCTGGTGGTACAATGGGTAAAATTCTTGTGGCTGACCGAAAGATCAGTGGTTTGAATCTAGGGAGCAGGGTGAGCTCCTATCTGTCAGTCCCCGCTTCTCATTCATGTGGGGATATAAGAGAAGCCTCCCACAGGATGGCAAAACATCTGGATGTCCCCTGGACAACAACACACATGCACACAAAAGATACTGAAACATGGCTGTCGCATCTCCTCTCAACCTTCTCTTCGACAAGCTAAGCATGCCCATAGGGCAACAAGACAGGCAATTTCCCCCCTTAAATTGAAAAGGAAGGAGATGATTGATGCTGGCAACTCTTGTATAGGGATGAAGGCACCCAAAGAGTCAGGATTGTGTGTGCACCTGACCCCCACCCCACCACACACAAACACACTAAGATATACTGCACATCCAGGCTGGATCTACACTGCTATGTAATTCAGATAATCCATGGACATATAACCCAGAATATCAAGGCAGAAAATCCCAGAATATCTGCTTAGTACTGGGTTATCTGTGTCCATACTGCCATATATTCCAGTTCAAAGCAGATAATGTGTGATATTATTCAGCTGTATAGAAGGGGCCTGAGTCCACACTGCCATATAATCCACTTCAATGTGGATTTTATACAGCTGTGTGGAAGGGGAACTGGCTGCAGAAACTAGATTATATGGCAGTGTAGATGGGGCCCCAGAAGGGTGCCCTTTGGAAGCAATTCAGTTTCTGCTCTGGGGTCATTGGAGAAACACAGGGGCCTTCCACACAGCCCTGTATCCCAGAATATCAAGGCAAGAAAACCCACAATATCTGCTTTGTACTGGGATATCTTCATCCACACTGCCATATATTCCAGTTCAAAGCAGATAATGTGGGATATTATTCAGCTGTGTGGAAGGGAAACTGGCAGCAGAAACTAGATTACATGGCAGTGCACATGGGGCCCCAGAGGGGTGCCCTTTGGAAGCAAATCAGTTTCTGCTCTGGGGTTGTTAGAGAAATACAGGGCCCTTCCACACAGCCCTGTATCCCAGAATATCAAGGAAGGAAAACCCACAATATCTGCTTTAAACTGGGATATCTCAGACCATACTGCCATATAGTCCAGTTCAGAGCAGAACATGGGGGATTTTCTGGCTTGATTATTTATTTATTTATTTATTTACGACATTGATATGCCCCCCTTCTCACCCCGAAGGGGACTCAGAGCGGCTTACAAGATATATATTACATACATTATATTATAAGCATAGTACAACATCAGCATTAAACATTGCTATATTGCACCATCCCACTATATCGTAACATTATTAGTAATATTACATGTAATATAAATATATAATTATAATATATTATACTAGTAATGTATTGCATTACATTATATTATAAATATTATAAATATCCCAGAGGAGAAACTGATTTGCTTCCAAACAGGCCCGTAGCCAGGATTTCGATTTGGGGGGGGGGGGTCCTGAGTGAAAGAGGATCGACCCTATCCAACTTTTGTATCGGTTACCACCAACCCCAATACCACAACCACTATGAAAGAGGGTCGACCCTAGCACCTGACATTTTATGATGCCTGGCACTTTGTCATTCATCATCAGTCCTGTGCCGGAAGGACTGAAGACCAACAGGTCGCAGGTTCGAATCCGGGGGAGAGGCGGATGAGCTCCCTCTATCAACTCCAGCTCCTCATACGGGGACATGAGAGAAGCCTCCCACAAGGATGATAAAAAACATCAAATCATCCATGCGTCCCCTGGGCAACGTCCTTGCAGATGGCCAATTCTCTCATACCAGGAGCGACTTGCAGTCACTCCTGACACGACAAAAAAAACCAAAAACCCAATACCCCCATGCATATGGGATATATTGAGTATGGTGATCAGATCATGATATGAATAAACATAACAGTTTAAATAATATACCAGTAAGGCCTTTTCGCAGACCACCATGAGAATTTCGGGGGGGGGGACTTAAGCCCCTCAAGCCCCCCCCCCCCCCCCCCCCCCCCGCCTACATGCCTGCTTCCAAAGGGCTCCCTTCTGGGGGCCCACCTATACTACCATATAATCTAGTTTCTGCAGCCAGTTCCCCTTCCACACAGCTGTATAAAATCCATATTGAACTGGATTATATGGCAATGTGGACTCAGGCCCCTTCCACACAGCCTTCTTCTTTGCTGTGTGGACTGTCACTGCTCCTTGGCTAGAACATTTCGGCCGGGAGACTGTGAAGGAACAATGGCCTGTCTCCCTGCCCAGACCCCTCGGGAACCGACCTGGTGGTGGTTGTAGGAGTTCCGCTGCTGGAGGAAAGCCGCCGCCGCCACGGCCGCCTGGTGCTGATGGTGCTGCTGCTGGAGCTGCGGGCTCACCGGGGAGCGCCTCGCCGGTTGCTGCTGCTGCTGCTGCTGCTGAGGGACATTAATCTGCGGCGGCGGCGGTGCGGTGGAGAAGGGGCTGCCGAAGGGCCCCATGGAGCCGGCGTGAGTCGACACCGGGGAGAAGCTCTGGAAGAACGCCGGGTTGATGGACGACGGCATCCCTCCGGCGGCGTAGAAGCTGCTGTTGCCGCTTCCGTTCTCGGGCGGCTCCGGGCTGGGCGGCGGGGCCATGGCGGCGCTGGGCGCTGGGGGAGGCGGCGGCGAGGAGGTCTGCACCGACCAAGGCGTGCCGAAGCCGGGCAGCGGCGGCGGAGGAGGGGAGGAAGGCACCGCCGAGGAGGCCGCGCCGCCAACTGGGTGGGGGCTGCCGAGATCGGCGCCGCCGCCGCTGCTGTTGAAGCCGCCCAACAAGTGCCCTCCGCCGCCGCCGCCGCCGTTGTGCGGGGGAGACTCCATAGGGAAGCGGGCCCGGCTCAGCCCCGGGCGGCGCGAGGAGGAGGAGGAGGGAGAGGCAGCGGGCAACACATGGAGCCAGCGAGGAAGGAGGAGGCTGCTGAGCCGGCAGAGGACGGGCTGAAAGTCGACTGGGAGAGGAGAAGGAGGAGGAGGCTGCGTTGCCAGGAGCCTCTCTTCCTCCTCCTCCTCCTCCCTCCTCGGCCCTGGCGAGTGTCACTGGCGGGGCCTGATGACGCGCCGAAGGAGGCGGAGGGAAGTCGCCAACGGTGCCCTTCACTTCAGGGAGAGAGCTCCCTCCCTTCTACCCTTCCTGAAGGAAATAGCAGCCTAACGGGACGCTTCCCTGACGTCACGAGGGCAAAATGGGCGCCCCTCAGAAACTATTCAGGACCCTGGCGGATTTTTGGTGGGTTTGGGGCGCGCGCCTCCCAATCAGCCCCTTGGTGCGCGCGCCTTTCAAGCCGCCCCTGGCGCGCGCGCGCGTCTCCCAAGCAGCTCTTCAGCGCGCGCCTATCCAAGCAGCCCCTCACGCTGCCGTTAAAGGGCGCATTCCGCCTAAGGCTACCAAGAATGCCTCATCCCCTTGTGTTCCCTGTCAAAACAAGCCTTGGGCCTTCCCCTCACATTTCCGCTTCGGGAGCCCTCTCTCTCTTTCTCTCTCCCTCTCTCCCTGCCTGCAGTGCCTTACTGCGGAGGAACCCCCTCCTTGCCTCACAACCCGGAAGTGTCGTCACTGCCGTCGTCACGCATCACAATCCCTCCCCTCTCCCTCCCTTCCCCCCCACCTCCCTCGGTCTTGTCTGACGCTTCGCGAGGCCCCGCCCCCTCATTAATAATTCAGCTTTATTTGATTATCTCCGCCCCCTAAACTTCCTGATTGGTCCGCTCTCTCTGAAGAGGACGGTACCACGCCCCGCTTGCGCTACGCGTAAAGCTTTGGAAGAAAGAGGGGAAAATGGTATCTCCCTATGAACTGGAAAGCGAGACCTTCTGACGAAGGGGGTGGATTCGGCGCATGCGCAGCTAGAGGGCAGAGCATAGAATGACTTTCAGGCTGTGTGTGTGAGTCAGCACCCCAAATAACCCCAGGAACAGGCCAAAAAAACCAAGAGACCAAGAAAAAACATGTTTGGCTCTGTTGTTTATCAGACGTGTTGTTTTTATATTGCTTTCAATTGTGTTGTATTTGTTTTATCTGATGTTTTAATTGGTTTAAAGCAGGGGTCCTCAAACTTTTTAAACAGAGGGCCAGGTCACAGTCCTTCAAACTGTTGGAGGGCTGGATTATAATTTGAAAAAAAAAACATGAATGAATTCTTATGCTCACTGCACATATCTTATTTGTAGTACATAAAACACTTTAGAACAATACTATAATTAAAATGAAGAACAGTTTTAACAAATATAAACTTATTAACATTTCAATGGGAAGTGTGGGCCTGCTTTTGGGCAATGAGATAGAATTGTTTTTGTTGTGTGCTTTCAAGTCGTTTCAGACTTAGGTTGACCCTGAGCGAGGGCCGGGTAAATGACCTTGGAGGGCCGTATCCGGCCCCTGGACCTTTGTTTGAGGACCCCTGGTTTAAAGTGTTTTACTTGTGTATTTTAATTGTAATTTTGGGCTTGTCCCTTGTAAGCCGCCTCGAGTCCTCTAGGGGAGATGGTTGGCGGGGTATCAAAATAAAAGTATTATTATTATTATTATTATTGTAATATTTATTTATACCTTGCTTTTCCCCCACAATTGAGACCTAAAGTGGTTCTCAACTTTAAAAGCTACACAGTTAAAAACTATATTGACATTATTACATAACATTAGTACATAAACATATGTGTTAAAATTGGTTGGGTTATTAATGTAGTAATTCACTTTCAGCAATGTCACAGTGTTTGAGAGGATTCAGTGTGGTTCTTAAGTTGTGCTAAAAGTTGTGAGAATGGTTTGGTCTTGGAAATTCACTGCATGACCTTGGGACAAGTCACAGCAGGTTTATCCTCCCCAGAAGGCAAGAGCAAATCTGTAAGTTCTGGCCCAACTTACATGTCTGACCGCATCTCCCCTTATGAACCATCTAGGAGCTTAAGATCGTCTGGGGAGGCCCTGCTCTCATCACCTTTGTCACAAGTACGTTTGATGGAGACAAGAGACAGGGCCTTCTCAGTGGTGGCCCCTCGGCTGTAGAACACCTTCCCTATAGATATTAGATCGGCCACCTCCCTTTTAACATTCTGGAAAAAAGTCAAGACGTGGCTTTTTGAACAAGCGTGCAAATGCAGAGTAACTGACACAGGAAAATGGAACGACTAGACAATGAGTCCAGACAACGTTTTTAATAAGGAGACACTATGAATTTATATTTTATTGATTTGTTTAGTTTTTATTATATGTTATGTTTTTAATTGCATTTAAGACATTGTAATCATTGAATTTTGCCCTGTTAACTGCCTTGAGTCGCCTGCAGGCTGAGAAAGGCGGTATACAAATACAGTAAATAAATAAATAAATAAATGGTGCTTCCTGGAGGGTGGCCTTACTGTCAGCATAAAACAGAAACGACATAACAAGAAAAGGATGCAAACAACAACAGGAAAAGGTTTCCCTCAAATGCAGTTCTCCTACCCGCATCCCCTTCTGCAATTATGTCTTGTGCCTGAAACTGGCTCAGAAGCTAGTACGCCTGTTTTAAGACAAGAGACATTGGTTCTGTTATCTGAAACCCAGACATTAATATGCATACTTTTCTTCAGAGAATGGAGCTGGCAGAACCACCTCTTGAATATTCCTTGTTTAAGAAAACTATAAAAATATTAGGGTTGTCATAAGTTGACACGTGAATTGTAGCCCTACATACACTGTAGCATTTATCAAATTGCTTCAGAAGTGGTGCAATCATGCAGGGGTGCTGCAATAATTTAAATCAGATGAATAATGGTGCTCAGGTTATACATGAGGGAGCACTAGTATCATAGCTAACTCATGCATCATGCCAGAGCTGTCTCTTAGGCTGGATCTACACTGCCATAAAATCCAGATTATCATATCACAGGGTGTCTGCGCCCTACACCACTGGAGAAATTACACTGCTTAGCCGGTATTGCACCACCTTACATCCGCTGGGTAGTTGCAGCCAATAGTGAAAGGACCAAGGCAGAGACATCTCCAGCTCATCCCTTGTTTGGGTATCAGCCAGCACATCAACGACTTAAATCAAGAAATAGTTTTCTTAGATCTACAGAGACACTCGCTGGAACACCTCAGCAAGCGAGAGTTCAAAAGTGGCAGGCTCAAACCCAGCACCTCAATCCGTGGGTGATACCAGATGAGAGACTCCTCCCTGGGCACACAGCATACTGGGCGACTTGGAAGGCACTGAACAGACTGCGCTCTGGCACCACAAGATGCAGAGCCAATCTTAAGAAATGGGGCTACAAAGTTGAATCCACGACATGCGAGTGTGGAGAAGAGCAAACCACTGACCACCTGCTGCAATGCAACTTGAGCCCTGCCACATGCACGATGGACCTTCTTGCGGCAACACCAGAGGCACTCCAAGTGGCCAGATACTGGTCAAAGGACATTTAATCAGCTACTAAGTTTGCAAAATTTGTGGGTTTTTTAAAATCTGTTTGTTTTGTTCTGTTAGAAATGTAATACAATGTTCTGGTTGCGAATGACACGATAAATAAAAATCAAATCAGTCCATCTAGGCCCATTCCACACAGCTGTATACAATCCACATTGAATTGGATTATATGGCAGTGTAGACTCAGATAATCCAATTCAAAGCAAATATTGTGGATTATCTGCCTTGATATTCTGAGTTATATAGCTGTTTGGAAGGGCCCCTAGATTATTCACTTTGAATTGGATTATGTGAGTACACTGCCATATAATCCAGTTCAAAGCAGATAACTGGGCAAAAATACAAGAATTTAACAAAGAAAAGGGGCAAAACAGCTATGTTTTGCTGTCTATACACTCAAGCTTGGAGCGTGGGAAGTAAGCAAAATGAACTCTTAATACAACAAAGCAAATATGATATAATTGGCATAACCGAAGCCTGGTGGGATGGGTCTCATGATTGGAATGTATTAATAGAGAGGTATACTTTTTTTTCTGAAAAATAGAGCAAACAGGAAAGGAGGAGTAATAGCATATCATAGATCTTTATAGTTGTAAATACTGGAAGCCAGATTGGGACTATCTGGGTAAAAATTAAGGGGAAAGGAAACAACAGGGTGTCATTGTGAAAGTTTACTACAGACCTCCAAACCAGACTGAGGACTGAGATGATGCCTTCCTCGAACAACTGGCAACTTAATTTAAGCTATAAGTACAAGCCGTAAATCAATTGTTGTAGTTGCTGTGGTCATCTTCCTTTCAACAATTGATTTTGGACCAATCATAATTTATACATGTCTTTCTAGAATTGAGAACATTAAGCATACAAGGGCAGCTTGTGGTTTGAATGGTCATGCACTTCTGTGCTGTTAACCAGAGTTTAATCCTGATAGAAGTCTGCTTTGAGAGTGTTAAAATGATAACCAAGTAGCTGCACCCCACTCCTATTTTGCAACTTCTTCCCCAATTGAATGGAGCAGGAGTAGAGAAGCTTTCCCAATGGCTGTTGTTTCGTTTGGTTGGTGAAGGGCAGCTCCGAATCACCCTGAATATGCAGCGGGGGGGGGGGGGGGGTTATATGTGAAAATACTAAATAATTAGAAATAGAAAAGATTCAAGACTTCTGTTTTCTCTGGCAAGACATGCCTAGGTAATTTGCTGCTTAGTAAATCACCTTTCTCTCATTTTGCTATACTGAAGATAAATTAGGAGTCTTTCACTGCATGCACTTCCATATAGCTGTCAGATCTATTCCTCCAGCCCTAGCCAATTTATATGAAAATTGGGTTTCTTGAGACTTTCTGAGGTCATGCTGAATAGTTACCTACAAAATGTGATGGCTTTTCACACAAGTAAATTTGATTTATGTTTTTAAAATGAATTTTAAGGTCTTATACATAGTTATATGCAGTATAAAGAAAGCACACTGGCAGAAAATCTGGAACAAGCTGTTAGATTCCTTTCTTGAAAAAAAAAATCATATTGCATTTGCCAGAAGATAGAATGTATTATTGGATTCTCTTCTTTGTAACTAACAGCTAGGATAAGAGCTGTATCATTTACAGATGAATGCTTGGTAATGATTTGGATGTGAAAATAAGGAACAAATGCTTATTGCAAGATGTGGAAGGGCGCACAGCTGCTAAAGCCTTCCTTATGGTCTGTGGGTCCTTCACACAGCCATATAACCCAGAATATCAAGGCAGATAATCCACAATATCTGCTTTAAACTGGGTTATCTGAGTCCACACTGCCTTATAATCCAGTTCAATATGGATTTTATACAGCTGTGTGGAAGGGGACTGTGTTGCACTGAATCAAGAAATATCAGTGCTTTAGAGTCTATAGGTGGGTTGACTGGGGAGATCCAAGTGAGATTCAGGCCCCTTCCACAAAAGCTGTATAAAATCCACATTGAACTGGATTATATGTCAGTGTGGATTCAAATAACCCAGTTAAAAGCAGATATTGTCGATCATCTGCCTTGATATTCTGGGTTATATGGCTGTGTAGAAGGTACTATGATGTACAATAGGCATTAACTGCAATTCAGACAATTAATTCATGTACCTGTGCGATCACTAGACATGGCAAACGGATAGTCTGAGAGCCCACACAGCCACGA